GTCGAGCAGGAGGTTGAAGCAGGCGTCGCCCGCCATGCGGGCGATGCAGCCGCAGCCCTGCGCGCAGCCCGCGGCGATGCCACGGCGATCTGCGCCGGCGAGGAGCGCCGCGCCCACGCCTGCGCGTCGGACTCCCCGCCGCTGCCAGGCGGCCGGCCGCGGCCGCGCTTCGCCGGTGGCGCCGCCGCGGCCGCGGCAGCGTCCTGGCCGTCGGCGGATCCGGGGCCCGCGCCTTCCTCGTCCTCGCCGAAGCCGGCGGGCCAGATCTCGAGAGGCGCCCACCCCTCGCCGTCGCCATCGCCACCGATGTCGTCGTCCCGATCCCGGTCGGCGCCGCCGGCGTCCAGGCCCGCCTCCTCGAAGTCATCGAGCTCCTCGAAGTCATCATGCTCGGTGCCGTCGTCGCTGTCGAACTGGCTGATGCCGCCCAAAGACCACGAACCCGTCGACTCACGCTGCATCCTGCGCGCGTCTCAGCGCATCGGCCAACGCGGGATGCACCGGATATCCCGAGGCATCCCGGCTCTGCATCCCGTTCTCCAATTAATAAAATCGTTTTATTAATATGGCCGGGGATTACTTGTCGGGTCCTGGCCGAGGGGGTCGTCGCAGGCGCCGAGGACCTGAGCGAGGACCTTGGCCGCGTGGTCCGCGCCGCAGCGGTCTTTCTGGTCCGGCGCCCAGGCCCGGGGGAGCAGGTCGAGGAGCCAGGAGTGCCAGTCCAGCGGCAGCTTGGGCCGCTTGCCGTGCTCGATGACCTTGCGGTACATGGTCTTGGGGTCGTAGGCCGCGTAGGGCTTGCCGTAGAGGCTGCAGATCTCGTAGGCGACGAGCGCGAAGCCGTAGACGTCGGCGGCCGTGCCGTAGGGCTCGGAGCGCCAGACCTCGGGCGCCATGTAGCGCCGCGTGCCCGCGCCGCCCGTGAGCTCGTAGGTCTCGGCCGTCTTCGCGGCCGTGCGCTCGAGCGCGACGGCGAGGCCGAAGTCGAGGAGCTTCAGTCGCCGGTCCGCCGTGAGGCCGAGGTTCGCAGGCTTGAGGTCGCGGTGGAGCACGACCGTGCCCGGGATGGCCTCGCCGCCGTGGAGGAACGCGAGCGTCGCCGCGAGGTCCCGGAGGAGCGCGACGCGCGCCGCCGACGGCCAGTCGCGGCGCACGGCCCAGCGCGCGCCCGCGTCGAAGTCGACGAGGTCGAGCTTGAGCTCGCGCGCGACGTCGCTCTCGACCCAGTCGATGACGAGGCAGGGCCGGCGCTCGTCCGTCGTGCCGCAGCCGAGCATGCCGAGCACGTGCGGGTGCGAGATCCGCGCGAGGAAGTTCGCCTCGCGCACGAAGGCCTGGACCTCGTCCTCTTTGGCCGCGAGCTCCGGCCGCAGCACCTTGAGCGCCATGGTCTGGCCCGCGTACTTGCCGAAGGGCACGACGCACGAGTGGACCGCGGCCTGGTCGCCCTCGCCGACGGGCCGAACGCTCACGTCCGCGAGCTCCGCGTAGTCGAAGGACTCGATGACGAAGCCGTCGTTGAGGAGCGAGTCGGGCATCTCGTGCGTCGTCTTCCGCACGTCCTGGGGCGCCGGCGACGGCGCGCGCGGGGACGCGAGGAGCCCGCCGGGGAGGAGCCCCGGGCTCGCGGCGAGCGCGCCGCCGCCGACGGGCGGCGTCATGCCCGCCTTCACGGTCATGGCGCGCCCGCTCCACGTCGCCCGGAGCTCCGTCTTCGACGCGCAGAAGAAGGACCCGTTCGACGGCGACGAGCTTAGCGACGGCTGGAGCGAGATACGTGGCGTCGCCGGCGAGCCATCGCCGCCGTCGATCGTGATCGACCTTGAAGTCGCGCCCGCCGGCGAGCCGGCGCCGCCGGCCATCGCTTTTTGTCGTATCGCGGTCGAGTTACCCGCGCGTCCACGCGTGAAGACCGTCAATTGCTCTTTCACAAGACCATCCGCGAAGACCATCCGCGATATTGAAATTCCCGGTCAGCGATCTTAATATAACGAAACGCTGGCAAGGTCACCGAGCTGCACAAAAGGGGAGCTCCGACGCCGTCTAAATCGAGGCGCAAGCGCCGCAACACGGTCAGTGGCGGCTCCGCCGTAGGCGACGCGCGCGTCTCGCGGTCGAGCAACGCGCGCGCGTCGTCTCGCGGTCGAGCAACGCGCGCGCGTCTCGCGAGTCGCGGTCGCGGCGACTCGCGAGTGCCCGCGGCCGAAAAACAAACGCTTCCGCTTCGACGAGTTACGCACAGGACCCGTCCCCCCTAGACCATGCGGCCGTGCATCTCGACGCCGTCGTCCTCGAGCGTCGTGCCGGCGATGGCGTACTCGTGGCCCTGCGCGGGCTCGTCCTGCTTCCGACAGCGGGCGACGTAGCCGAGGCCGAAGCCGGCGACGATGGCGAAGGCGCCGAAGGCGAAGACGAAGGAGCTCGTCTTCGACTTGGCCGGCGGCGGCGCGGGCGCGGGCGCGGCGGCGGCGGCGACCGGCGCGGGCGTGCGGTGGTGGCGGGGTTTGGGCGCGGGCGTGGGGAAGGTCGCGTAGGCGTAGTCGCCGGCGCCGTAGGTGTAGTCGTTGTCGTGGCTCCAGTAGGCCGTCGACGGCGGCGCGGTCGGCTCGGGCGACGGCACGGCGAGCGCGGTCGGGTAGGGCGTCGCCGTCGGCGCGAAGGTGTGGTTCGACGCGTGGACGGCGACGTGGGCGTTGCGGAACCAGGGCCCCCAGTAGCCCGTCCAGTACTCGCTGTCGACGCCGCCGTCGGCGAACTCCGCGTAGCGCGCGCCCCGCGCGACGTCCTCGCCGCCGAACGCGTGGCCGTGGGAGTGCCAGCCGTCGACGACGCCGCCGCGCGTCTCGCACCAGCGCGCCTTCTCCTCCGTGGGCACCTTGGACACGCCCTTGCACGGGTCCCAGACCGCCACCTTGTGCTTGCACGCCGCGTCGCTGCAGAGCGCCGCCTTGATGTAGAACTTGTCGACCTCGTAGAACTCGCGCACCTCCTCGCTGACGACGACGGCGACGGTGCCCGAGTCGAGCATCGCCGCGTCGACGACGCCGGGCACCTCCAGGGCCACGATCTGCGACCGCGTGCACGCCTGGTAGCTCGTCTTGAAATTCGCGTCGCACGATTCCGGGTCCTCGTCCGTCTCGCACGTCGTCAGGTTCCCGACGTAGGCCGCCCAGCCGTCGCCGCCGTTGACGACGTTGTCCCAGCCCTCCATGGACGCCACCTCGGGGCCGCCGTTCACGAGCAGGTTGCCCGTCAGGTCCTCGAGCACCTCGCCGTCGGCGCTCCGCGACTCCTCGCCCTTCGCCGCGGCCGTCGCGAGCGCCGCCGCGCCGAGGAGCAGGGACCGGCGCGACACCATCGCGGAAGCGTACGGCGCGAAGCGGTGCGGGCGCGGGCTGGCGGCGGCTGGCTTGGACGGCTTCGCGCGCCTCGCTCGAGCGCTCGACAGCGCGCCGTCTCACCGCCTCGCAAGCCGACTCGAACACGATGGTTAAGGAGCGCGATGACCTCGTCTACCTGGCCAAGCTCGCGGAGCAGGCCGAGCGCTTCGACGAGATGGTGAGTGCGCGTCCGGGGGGGAGGGGGGCGGGGGCGCGAGACGCGGGCGCCGACGGCGCCCCCGACGGCCCCGATGGCGCGCGCTCGAGGAGTGCGCGTTCGTCGACGGCGGGGGGGTTTCGCGGGCCGGGCCCGAGCCCGTCACGGCGGGTCCGAGCCCGCCCCGGCGAAGCCCGAGCCCGAGCCGCCGCGCGCCGCGACGACGCGCGCGAAAAAACCGGGGCGGGGACGAACTCGCGAAAAACAAAACAAAGACAAGAACCCTCGAAATGCGTGTAGGTCGAGCACATGAAGACCGTCGCGGGCTACTCGGAGGAGCTCTCCGTCGAGGAGCGGAACCTGCTCTCGGTCGCGTACAAGAACGTCATCGGCTCCCGCCGCGCGTCGTGGCGCGTGATCTCTTCTATCGAGGCGAAGAGCGACTCGGAGAAGACCGCGATGATCACGTCCTACAAGAAGAAGATCGAGACGGAGCTCGAGACCATCTGCGCGCCGCGGCGCCCCCGAACGGAACCCCCCCCATAAAAAACGAAACGCGACGAAACCCGCAGGCGCGGACATCCTCAAGATCATCGCGACGCAGCTCATCCCCAACTCCGTCGGCGACGAGGGCAAGGTCTTCTACTACAAGATGAAGGGCGACTACCACCGCTACCTCGCCGAGTTCCAGGCCAGCGAGGTCCGGAACAAGTCGTCGTCCGACGCGCTCGACGCGTACCAGGAGGCGTCGCGCATCGCGAACAAGGACCTGCCCCCGACGCACCCCATCCGCCTCGGCCTCGCCCTCAACTTCTCCGTCTTCTACTACGAGATCCTCAACTCGCCGGACCGCGCGTGCCACATCGCGAAGCAGGCCTTCGACGACGCGATCGCCGAGCTCGACACGCTCTCCGAGGAGTCCTACAAGGACTCGACGCTCATCATGCAGCTCCTCCGCGACAACCTCACGCTCTGGACGTCCGACAACGCCGTCGACGTCGAGGCGAGCAACGCCGAGGGCGGCGGCCAGGTCGGCGACGTCTGAGCGCCGCGACCCGCGAGGACCGCGTCGCGGGCCCCGGCTCCGGGGAGCTTCTCGGCCTCTCGCCCCACCCCAATAACCGACCATCCAGGAAGTTCGCTTAGACGTGACCGCCCCGGAACGGCGGGCGCGCCCTCGGTCGGGCCGCGCGAGGCGGAGTTCCCCGCGCGGCCGTCATCCGGGCGCTCTGCCTCGCCGGCCGGGGCGGCGGCGTGCTCGATGGCGGTCCCTAGCAGCCCGCGGGCGCCGCGCCGCCGTAGCTCGCGCAGACCTTGGCGACGACGGCCTTGGCCCAGTCCTCTCCGTCCGGGTCGTACTTGCCGGAGTCGACGAACTCGCCGTCGACGACGACCCAGCCCGGGTGCGGGCTGCCCGGGTTGTGGGATGTCGTATAGGCGTAGTCCGCGACGAGCGCGTCGTGGACCCAGTCGCCCGGCGCCAGCGCGCCGACCGCGTCCACCAGCTTGGCGACCTCGGCGTCCGCGAAGCCCGCGGCCGCCGCGCACGCCGCCGACACGTTGCGAAAGCTCGCGGCGTCGTAGGCCTCCGTGCCGCACTCCTGCTTGCCGTCGTCCCAGGTCTTCGGGCAGAGGGCCTTTTGGCTCGCGAACATGCAGCGCGTGAAGGCCCACGACTTGCCCGAGTCCACGACGTGGGCCGCGGCGAGGTTGGCCGCGTCGGCGTAGCAGCACTGCGAGCCGTGGTGGGACCTACCAAGCATGACGGTAACGATTTTTCACGGCCACAGGACGCTGGGTGGGACGTGCACGCGCCGGCGCCGGTCCAGTCGCCCATGAAGTGGGTCGTGTAATCGACGACGTCGGGCAGCCCCTCCACACTAAAGACGTGTTCGCCGAGAGCCAGAGCCGACTCCCGGCAGTGCCCTCACAGGCTCGAGCAGTACGCGGTCACGTTGACCTTGTCGGCCGCCGACGCGCCGGCGACGAGGAGCAGCAAATGGCGGATCATCGTGAGCACAGAAGACAGAGCGAGCACGAGCAGGGGAAGCCTGCCCGAGGCCGACGGTGCACGGCAGTTGCTGGCTGTTACAATACTCTCCGAGCTATGAGCTCTCTATTGCTGCTCGGGCTAGCGCAAATGTCCACTGGCATGCTACGCTTGCTGCCGCTCCTGACCGCGGCGCACGCGCTGTCCGTCGGCACGACGCGCACGGTGACGTTCGAGAAGCAGCGCTACGACACGACCATCACCGACGGCGACGCGTCGCTGCCGCCGCTCGTGCTCATCCCGCCGGTCGGCGTGGGCATCGACCGCGCCTTCTGGATTAAGTTCCAGCGGGTCTGGGACGGCGGCGCGGCGACGCACGCGCCGGACCTCCTCGGCACGGGGACCGCGGCGCCGAAGCCGCGCAAGTTCTACGGCCCCGAGGTCTGGGCGCGGCAGCTCGACGCGTACGTGCGCGACGAGGTCGGCCGGCCGTGCACGCTCGTCGTCCAGGGCGGCCTCCTGCCCTGCGCGCTCGAGATGTGGCGCCTCGGCGGCCGGGACACGATCGCGGGCGTGTCGCTCCTGTCGCCGCCGCCGCTGCGCTTCGTCTGCGACGACGCCGACGAGCCGTGGATGGCCAAGAAGGCGGGCGCGCCGCCGCCGGGACCGCCGACGCCGCGCGCGTCGCGGCGGATCCAGCGGATCGCCTGGGCAATCTCTTCTTCGCCCGTGGGCAATCTCTTCTTTCGCCGATTGCGAGGGAAGCGCGGCGCGCGCATCCGCGCCTTCACGGACAAGAACCTCTTCGCGGGCGAGTGCGACGACGCCTGGGTCGACCAGTGTCGCGGCGGCCCGGGACTCGCGGGGCCGCTTCGCGACGCTCGCCTACCTCTGCGGCACGATCCCCGGCGGCGGCGCGTGGCGCGACGACCGCGGCGCCGTCCTCGACGCGCTCGACGCGCCGACGCAGATCATCCGCGGCGACTTCCCCGGAGCCTTCGACCCGGCGAACCGCACGGCGGCGGCGCTCGCGCGGCTGCCGCGCCCCGCGGACTCGTTCGTGGTCCCCGGCGCGCGCGCGTGCCTGCCCTACGAGCAGCCCGAGCTGACCGCGGCCGCGCTGCGCCACTTCGTCGCCGGCGGCGACCCCCCCGCGACCCTGGCGCTCGTCGCGGCCCCCGCGCGGTAACGGGCCGCCCTACGCGTCGAGGAGCGTCGCGGCCGCGGCGGCGACGTTCGACGGCCGGGGCCAGGCGCGCGCCTCGAAGTTCGAGTGGGGCAGGGGCGACGCGGCGTAGGCGAGGCCCAGCGCCGCGGCCATGGCGCCGTACTCGCCGAACTCCGACTCCGGGAGCGCGAGCTCGAGGACGGCCGCGCCCGGCGCCATGAAGAGGCAGTTCGCGAGGCCCGCGCCGTGGACGCCGACGACGAGCGCCGCCGACGCGAAGAGGTCCACGGTGTCGCGCATGGGCGTGGCCGCGCCCTCGAAGAGCGTGAAGTCCAAATTCCGCTGCGACGCGACGTGCGCGAGCGCGGCCATGAGCGCCTCCTGGTTGCCGAAGGCGCGCGACTCCGCCGGCCCCCGGCCGACGAGGACGACGCGCGTCGCCCGCCGCGCCGGGTCCGCGGGGAGGAGCGCGGCGCGCGCGCGGCGCAGCAGGCTCGGCAGCGGCCGGAGCACCGCGCCCGCGCCGCCGTGGACGCCCGGCGCCGGGTCCCAGGTCACCGTCGTCGCCTGCGTGCCCGTCACCACGAGGGCCGCGTCGCGCTTGTGGAGCGTGCCGAAGGGCCGGAAGGCGTCGCGGCCCGCGAGCTGCATCGTCGCCTCGATGAACGGGCCGCCCGACGGCAGCAGGAGCGGCACGTTCCGCAGCCCCCGCGCGTCGAGCTCGTCGCCGAGCAGGAGCAGCTTCGGCAGCGTCTCCACGAGCCAGTGGTAGTAGGAGCTCCCGCTGAAGCCGTCGACGTAGGCGAACGCGTCGAGTTCCAGGGTCCGCGGCCGCGCCTCGACGTGCCTGTTGTCGAACTGGCGGAAGAGCGCGGGGTAGCAGCGGCTCGGCCCGGCGTAGATGGCGCAGTCCCGGGGTTGGAAGTCGTCCTCGAACTCGTCGGGCCCCGGGTCGCCGATGGGCAGGTCGTGGAGCAGCGCGTCGAGGCCCTGGACCGCGAGCGACCCGTTCGGAGGCGCGACGATCGTCGCGACGAAGACGCGGTCGTCGGCCGCCGTCGGCTCCAGAGACACGCGCGGCGCCGCGTGCCAGTCGCGCACGAGGTCCACGCGCGCGCAGGCGTCGCGGACGCGCTTCGCCAGGGGGATGCCCGCGGCCGGCCGGTGCTCCGCGGCGATCGTCGCGACGGTGGCGCGCTGCGCGGCGCAGAGGTGGGCCGCGCCGGCGTCGGCGACGGCGCCGGGGTCCGCGCCGTGGGCGGCGAGGGACGGGTAGAGCTTGTAGACGAGGGCGAGGGAGTAGTGGGCGCCGTGGTGGCCCGGGAGCGTCTCGTTGTCGGGAATCGCGGCCGTCCGGAGGAGCGCGGCCGCGCTGCTGAGCACGTCGCGGTACTTGGTCGCCAGGGCCGACGGCGCGGCGATGGCCGACGTCGCGGACCAGTTCGACGACCGCATGTCCTGCTCCGTGGCCCGGATCATGAGGTTCGCGACCGTCGCCGCCGCGCCGCCGTCGCCGGCGTCGCGCTTCAGATTCTCGAGCTGCAGCTCCGCGATCTTGCTCGCCGTCGTGTCCCAGTGCTGGCTGCACCACGCGATGGCCCGGTCGAACTGGCCCGGCGCCGACGCCGGCGCCGCGACGCGCGCCATGAGCTCCCGGTCCGCCGCCGCGGCGCGCACCTCGACGGCCGCGGTCTTCAAGTAGAGCTGGGCCGCGAAGGCGAGCGCGGCGACGCCGGCGACGAAGAGGAGCCGCAGGGGGGCCGGGGACGCGCCGCCGGCCTTCGGCTCCGGGGCCTTTTTGCTTCGCTTGCGCGCCATCGTCGGGCAGCCCGCGAGCGGCGGCCCTAATAGCTCATGTTGTCCTGGATGGTGCTGGTGATGCTGCTGTCTCCACAAGAGCTGTGGCCAGCGTCGCGCTTCGGCAGCCGCGAGGTCGCGACGTTTTCTCGCGCGGAAACGTGCTCTAGGCCGGGGCGCCGGGCGAGACGTGCATCGCGGACGAGTCTCGCACGGCAGGAAACGCGCAGCGATGGCGGCGGACGCGGACAAGAAGCCCGACGCCGGCGCCGCGGCCGACGCGCCCAAGTCGACGGCGCTGACGCGCGGCATCGCGTGCCTCGTCCACTTCAAGGACCACCACGACGAGGCCATGCACCTCACGCTGAAGATCACGGTGAACCCGAAGTGGTTCGGGCGCCACGTGCGCGAGGCGCTCATCGGCCCGTTCGTGGACGCGTACAACAAGAAGAAGGGCAAGGACAAGTACGACCGGCCCATCGACCCCTTCATGATGCGCTGCTGCGCCGTCGACGGCGCGCGCATCGAGGGCAACGAGAAGGTCGGCCGCGTCATCCTGCACCTGTCGAAGAAGCGCGCGGATAAGATCGCGGAGCTCTTCGTCGCGGGCGTCCACTACACGTCGGGCAAGTGGTGGCGCGAGGAGGTGACGCCCCTCCTCGAGGGCAAGCCCCCGGACCCGGCTTTGAAGGACGCGCCGGAGAATCCGGCTTTGTTCGGGTCCGGCGGCGAGATCGTCGCGAGCCCGCCGATGCCCCGGGGCCTGAGCGAGGAGACGGGCCTCATCGCCAAGGACCGCTACGCGCCGCCGCCGCCGTGCACGAACGCGGCGCTGGCGACGCTCGGCGACCGCGTCCACGAGCTGCTGAAGACGCCCGAGGCGCCCTACCTCGAGGTGCGCGCCGCGGCGACGCGGTGGCTCAACACCGTCGACAGCGTCACGAACGCGCTCGCGTGCGTCGACGACAAGGGCCGCACGCTGCTCCACAACGCCGTGAGCCGCGGCGACTCGCGGCTCTGCGCCCAGCTCGCGGCCATCGGCGACGGCGCCATGGTCCTCGCGCTGGACGCCGAGTACACGACGCCGATCATGGAGGCGGCCATCGCGGGGCGGACGCTCGTGTTGAAGGAGATTTTGAAGGCGCCGTGCGTGCGGCCCCAGCACCTCAACGAGCGCAACTACTACTGCATGTCCGCGCTCCAGCTCTGCTGCTGCGACGACGCCCAGGGGTCGCCGTCGACCGCGGAGCTCCTCGTGCGCCACGGCGCGGACGTCAACGCGCGGTGCTGGGACAAGACGCCGCTGATGGCGGCCGCGGCGTCGGAGCACTACGAGCTCGTGCAGGCGCTCTGCGAGGAGCTCGGCGCGGACCCCATGCTTCGCAACGGCGAGATGATGATGGCCATGGACTACTGCAAGACGATCCACACGTCGGAGCTGCTCCACGGCTTCATGGACGGCCACTTTCTGATGAACAAGGCCGCGCCGTCGTTCGTGTCCGAGGACGACGGCAAGCCCGCGCACGACCGCTTCCGGGACGGCCCCCTGCCGGGCGACGACCCCTTCGAGGAGCACGGCCCGCGCTACTTCGCCTGGACCAAGGAGGTGCCCCTCGCGGACGCGTTCTCCACGCTCGAGGTCGACGGCGCGCTCCTCGGCGAGTTCGAGGCCGACGGCGAGCACGCGAACGTGCTCCGCCAGAACTGGCGGCGCCTCGTGCTCCATTACCACCCGGACAAGCGGCCGCCCAACTTCGACGACCTGCCCAAGGACGACCAGCGCAAGTGGACGGGCAAGTTCCACGCGGTCCAGCGCGCGTACGAGGCCGTCGAGGCCCACCTCCTCTACCTCGACCGCAAGGCCGAGAACCCGGCCTACGCCGCCCCGGCGCCGACGACGGACGAGGCGCCCACGGACGACCGCTGGTGCTAAAGCGCTCTTTTTAGGTGTATCTCCGCAGGACGAGGAGCGCCGCGAGGCCGACGGCGACCGCGCGGGCCGCGGCGGACCCGTCGCGGACCTCGGCGACCTCCACGGTCCAGAGCAGGATGGCGTTCGGCGGCACGGCCGTGCCGGACCCGGCGGCGCCGTAGGCGAGCTTCGGCGGCACGACGAGCTCCCACGCGTCGCCCGCGCGCATGAGGCCGAGCGCCTCCGCGAGGCCCTTCATGACGCGGTTCGGCACGAGCGCCGGCGCGCCGTAGGCCGGCGTCGTCGGCTTTTCGCGCCGGTGCAGGGGCGTGCCCGGCGGGAGCTCCTGGCCGTTGTGCGGGAGGCGCGCCGTGTAGGTCGCGACGACGCGCGCCGACGGCGACGCCGCGGGCCCGGTCCCGGATTTCAGCACCTTGTACTGGAGGCCCGACGCCGTCGTCGTCCAGCCGGGCAGCTGCGCGTTCTCCGCGAGGAAGAGCGAGTTCGAGATGACCTTGCCGAAGGTGCCGGGCAGCAGCGCGAGCGCCAGGATCCGATACACCATCGTCGTCGTCGCGGGCTGCCTCGGCATCGTCGACACGGTGAAGGTGCTGCCCTTTCTGTCTGTGGCTGATGGCTGCCCCCCTGGGAGCATGCATCGAGGCGGCGGGCGTGGCCATGCCCACGCAGTGCTTCGGCACCATGAACACCTGGGACATGGAGGCCATCGGCGGCGCCCTCGACGCCGGCTACCGCCACTTCGACCTGGCCATGCTCTACGGCAACCACGCCCTGCTCGGCGCCTTCTTCGAGGAGCGCTTCAAGGCCGACGCGTCCCTGGGGCGGTCCGACGTCTTCCTCACGACGAAGATCTGGACGCGCCACATGCGCGACCCGCGCGCGGCCTGCGAGGAGTGCCTCCGGGACCTGCGGACGGACTACCTCGACTGCCTCCTGCTCCACATGCCCTTTGGCCTCATGCCCAACTACATGACGGCGCCGGACCTGGCGCTGGACCTGCGCGCGGCCTGGGCCGCGCTCGAGGCGCTCCAGGCCGAGGGCAAGGTCCGCAGCATCGGCGTGTCCAACTTCGAGGTCAAGCACCTCGAGGTGCTGCTCGCCGCGTGCGACGTCCGGCCCGTCGTCAACCAGATCGAGCGCCACCCCCGCTGCCAGCAGGGCGCCCTCGTCGCCTATTGCCAGAGGGAGCGCATCGCGCTGAGCGCCTACAACCCGCTCCACAAGCGGCGGCCCGAGCTCGTCGAATCGCCGGCGCTCGCGGCGATCGCGGAGAAACGCGGCAAGACGCCGACGCAGATCGCCCTCAAGTGGTGCCACCAGACGGGCGTGTTCCCCATCCCCATGTCGCGGAACCACGCGGCGGAGAACTTCGACCTCCTCTCCTACGAGCTCGACGCGGCCGACCTCGCGGCGGTCGCGGCGCTCGACGCGAACGCGCGCGACTACAACGCGGGCTTCACGCACTACGGCCGCCTGAGCCACGAGAGCTACGCCTACCAGCGGGCCCTCGAGAAGGCCCACGACTATCTGACCTTCGCCATCGCGTCGGCGATGCCGCGGCCGCCCCTCTCGAAGCTCGGGTCCCTCTGGGCCCTGGGCATCGCCGTGTCCCTCGGCGTGGCGGAGCACGTCCTCACGAAGCTGCTCCGCGCCCTGCGGCTCGTGAACTAAGACTCGCAGGTGGGGCCCCGTGACATAAAAAACTAAGGTTAGGCCTCGCCGCCCTGGATGGACTCGAGCTCGCGCTGGATGCGCGAGATCTCCGCGAGGAGGTGGTCCGCGGACTCGCGGCGGTCCGGCACGGGCCCCGGCGCCGCGTGGCTGGTCTGGGCGAGGCGCTTCTTCTCGAGGGCCGCGTGGATCTGCCAGGGCACGGCGAGGTAGACGTGGCGCGGCGCGTCGTCCGGCGCCGGCGCGACGGTGATGAGGTCCGCGAGGTCCGCGGCGCTCGCGTCGAGCGCGAGCGCGTTTGCGAGGTGGCGCCGCGCCGCGCGGTAGACGGCGAGCGGCCGGCAGCCGTCGTGGCCCGCGCGCTCGCAGCGCACGAGCGTCGCGTCGCCCGCGCGGCCCGGCCGCGCGTCGAGCGCCGCGAGGATCGGCGCCGCGTTGCGCTTCGGCGGCACGATCGCGTCCCGGTCGCCCGCGATCAACAACACGCCGCCCGGCGCGTCGACGGCGGCGGCGCGGTCCTCGGGGACGACGTCGTCGACGGCGAAGCCCGCGACGTGGACGAGGCGCGCGCGGACGACGCGGATCAGCGCGTCCGCGGCGACGTCCGCGGCGCCGTCGACGAGCGACGCGAAGGTCGACTTCCCGTCCGGGTTCGCCCTGGACCGCGCGGCGTGCTTCGTGAGATCATTGACGAGCTTGACGAGCGACGCGAAGGGCGAGTCTAAAATGAGGCCCGCCAGGCCCGGCTGGTGGTCCGCGGCGCACAGGAGCGCCGCGGACGCGCCCATGGACCGGCCCCAGACGACGATCTTCTCCGGCGGCGTGCCGTGCGTCGCGTACAACGCGTCGACGACGTCCGACGCGTCCGCCGCCTCGCGCAGGCCCAGGCTCACTTTGTCGCCGTCGGATTTGCCGCTGCCCGCGCAGTCGACGGCCACGAGAGCGCAGCCGAGCTCGAGGACGAGCGCGAGGTAGTGGAGGCCCTCGACGCGCGAGCTCTGGTTCCCGTGGAGGCACAGCACCGTCGGCGCGGCCGGCGGCGCGTCGTCCGCGGCCCAGCGGCTCGCGCGGAGCCGCTGGCCCCGGCCGTTGACGACGACGAAGTCGCGGCGCGCGATCGATTTGCCCAGGAAGTCGAAGCGCGCGGGGCCCAGGTCGCCGACGTCGTAGGTGGCCCGCAGGGGCCGGAGCATGAGCCCCAACGCCTGGTCCTCGAGGCTCTTCCAGGACGAGTAGGGCGCGAAGGACGCGGACCAACTCGCCGCGTCCGCGCCCGAGACCTGGGCCAGGCTCTCGCGGCGGAGCTGCTGCACCTTGAAGGGCGTCTCGTCGGGCCGCGCCGGCGCCGGCGCCGCGGCCAGAGCGTCGTCGTCCTCGACGTGGCCCGCGACGCGGACCTTGGACGCGCCGCGCGGGTCCGCGGCGTCGCGCGCGAGCCGCCGCGCGGCGCCGCGCGCGAACGCGAGCGCCGCGGCGACCGCGTGCATGGCCCGCCGCGCGTCGCCGTCGGAGAAGCCGCGCCGCGGCCGCCACTCCAGGCTCCAGTCGCAGGGCGGCGCGTCCGCGCGGAGGTGCCGCTCGCGGTCGGGCCCCGCGCCGCGATACCCGTCGTCGTCGCGGCGCCTACGGTGTTTCGGATCGTCGACGCACGCGCGACTCGAGCAGGGGTACGGCGCCGCGCCGCGCGGGCAGCCCCGCGCCCAGACGTCGAGGAACGCGGCGTCGCCGTCGACGCGGCAGCGCCAGGCCGCCGCGAGCGTCTCGACGCGGTCGATCGCCACCGCGCCGCTCGCGTCGAAGAGGCGGAAAGAGCGCGGGTCGTCGCCGTTTACGTCGGCGACGACGGCCACGGGCGGCGTCTCCGGCTCGGGCGGCGGCCGCTCGTCCTCGTAGCCCCAGGAGAAGCCCGTCCAGCTCTCGTCCGGCGGCGGCGCGGCGGCTTCGCGGCCGCCGGCGCGCAGCAGCGCCTCGAGGCGCACGCGGCGGTGCCGCGGCGCCTCCGGGTCGTCGTCGGCGAGCGCGAAGGCGATGGGCGACGGCGCGCGCTCCGGCGGCGTCTGCACGAAGGCCGTCTGCCCGTGCGTCGGCGACGCGCGCGCCTCGACCTCGTCGTCGTAGGCGTCGATGCTGTAGGACGTGACGACGGGGTCGAACTCCGCCGGCGGCGCGGCGGGCGGGTCGCGGGGGTCGTTGTTCGCGCAGAGGACCATGAGCAGCGCGGACTGCACACTCTCCTTCCTCGGCGGCGACGTCGGCCGCGCGAGGCGCGACTCGCGCCGCGCGGGCGGCCGGTCGCCGGGCCCGCCCGCGCTGTCGATCTCCGGCAGCTTCTCGGCCCACTTGCTGAAGGACCGCTTCCGCTCGGGCCGCAACAAGCTTGTTGGCCTCGGCGCGCCGCCGTCCTCGGGCGCGTCGATGTCGACGAGGCTCGGCGACTTCGGCGGCCGCGAGCCCGCGGGCGGCCGCGGCTGCGGCGGCGTCAACGGTCGCGCCGCGGGGTCGTCGACCTTGACGAGCAGCTGCGGGTCCTGCGGCAGCACCGGCACGTCGTCGACCGGTTCGACGGCGCAAAACAGGAGATCGAGCTCGTGGATGTACTTGCTGGCCATGGCTGCCTCGTCGTGGCGGTTTTTCGCTATTTCGGCCTTGGCGGCGTCGGCTACTGCCTTGGCCGCGGCGTCGGCGTTCGGAGCCGCGTCGCCGCCGCCAGCCCCCACACCCTGAGACGCTTCAAAATGCACCCGAAACGCTGCCCCGCTGGCTCGGCGTCGATGTTGATGGGGATGTTGAGGAGAGGCTAACCCCTCGGCGACATAAAGCTAACCCGCCGGACTCGGCGTCGTCGGCGGGCGCAACTGGAAATAGTTTCGGACCTGCCAGCTAACGACATTCGTCGTGCTCGTGACGAGGCACCTGATGCAACAGGACCTCTACCAAGCCGCGGCGCTCGTCGGCGGGTTCGTCGAGGACTCGACGATCCTCGCGGGCCATGTGCTTCCCGAAGCGGCGCTCGCGCCCGTCGTCGTCGAGCCCGACCCGCCCGTCGCGCCGCCGCCCGTGCTGCCGCCGCTGGGCGCGGGTCTGCCCCTCGGACCCGCCGCCGCCGCGGTGGCGCCGCCGCTCGTGGACCTGTCCGCGGTGCCCGCGGCGCCGCCGTCGGACAAGAAGAAGCGGCGGCCCTGGTCGGAGCCCGAGGAGGAGCGGCTCCGCCAGGGCGTGCTCCAGCACGGCGCCGGGTCCTGGGCGAAGATCCGCGACCAGTGCGGCTTCAAGGGCGACCCGGCGACGGGCGACGAGGGCCGGTCGTGCGTCAACCTGAAAGACAAGTGGCGGAACCTCCAGCGCGTGCCCCGCGCGGACGGCAGGCCCAAGATCACCGGCGCCGACGCCCTCAAGGGCGGCGGCCGCAAGAAGAAGGCGCGGCCGCCGAAGCGGAAGCGCGAGGGCGACGACGGCGGCCCGCGGGGCCCGCCCAAGTGGCTCGAGGCGGCCGCGAGCTGGTGCCGCGGCAAGCTCGTGCGGGCCGACAAGGGCAAGGTCCACGTCGGCGCCCTGCGCGACAAGTTCGCGTCGGACCCGGCCTTCTTCCCGGACGTCCAGGCGCTCATCGACGACGGCGAGGACCCCGCGCTCCTCGCCGAGGACCTGCGGAACCCGAAGACGGAGGCGTCGAAGAAGTTCCGCAACGAGGCCCTGGAGCCCGTCGTCGGCAAGGCGTCCATCCGCCAGAACTGCTTCATCAACGGCCTCAACCAGCTCGGCGTCTTCGGCTGGTGCGTCGAGGGCGAGGACGCGCGGCCGCCCGCGCGGTCGCCGGCGGACAAGCTCCGGGCGGCCCCGCCGGCGCCCATCGACCTCGTGCCGAGCCTCTCGGGCGCCGTCGTCGCGGCCGCGAGCCCGCTCCCGCACCCGCACGCGAACCTCGCGGACCTCGGCGCGCCGCGGCTCAACGTCGGCCCCGCCGCCGCCGCGCCCCACGCGAACCTGCTCGCCGCCCAGCGCGAGGCCGACGCCGCCGCCGCGGCGGCGTCCGTCGTCGCCGTCGTGCCGCCCGACGCGCCCGTCGCGGTCGTCGAGCCCGACGACCCCGCGATCGTCGAGCCCGAGGACGACTTCGCCGCGGCTCCGGCCCTCGCGCCCGTCGCGCCCATGCCGACGCCCGTGCCCGCGCCGACGCCGGCCGACACGACCGTCCTCCGCGTGCCCGAGCCGCGCGCGGCGAACGCCATCGACGAGCTGCTCGGCGGCGAGGGCGTCGGCGTCGCCCACATGCTGTCGACCTATGTGCCGACGCCGCCGTGAGGGTGGACTGTGTAAGAAAGGTATTGTGGTTATTTGGGTTGGGAGTTGGGGGACGGCGTCGGACGAGTTGTGGGCGACTCGAAAGACGCCTCGAGCGGCTGGCGCGCACCGGGCCGCTACGTACCCGTGCGCGCTCGGTTCGCAGGTCGGTTCGAGCCTCGGTCGCGAACGCTGAGCCCCGCGGACTGAAAGTTGAAGAGGCCGTCCGTGCGTGTTGCGGCGAGAGGTGATGAAGCGGCGTCATTTGGGGGGGGAGGAGAGAGCCACGGGGGCGACGATGCGTGACGGGACCCATGAATGGACGGCGGAAGACGTGGCGCAGCGTGCGCGGGCGAAACCGCGGCCCAAAGAGCCCCTTCGGCGCTTCGGCGACCACGTTTTTGTCCGCGGCGCGATTCTGCTCGCCTGCCGCGACGGCCGCGCGGAGCGACGGTCCTCGGACCCGCTCCGGGCGGTGGCCGAAGCCCGGGCTGCTGCGGAAGCACCGTCCCGTCGCCGCTCCGTGGGGGCCGCGCGCGGAGCCGCCGACGGGGAGAGCGCGCCGCCTTTCGCCGAGCGCGCCGCCCCCCTCACCGACTCCCACCCGCAGGTGTAACATGTGCCGTCTCGCGCTCCTGAGCGTGCTCGCCGTGGCCAGCGGCCTCGTGCACAAGGCGGGCCCCGTGATCACGGCGCGCGTCGCGACGACGCGCGGCTCGGCGCTGTCGATGAAGCTCTACGACTGGAAACGGCGGGAGTCCGTCGAGGAGGCGGGCGTCGACGCCTTCGAGTTCCGCGTGGACAACATCCGGAGCGCGCCCGGGGCCACGAAGCGGAAGACGCGCAAGGGCCGCGGCATCAGCGCGGGGCAGGGCGCGACGTGCGGCTTCGGCATGCGCGGCCAGAAGTCGCGGTCCGGCCGGCCCACGCGCGCGGGCTTCGAGGGCGGCCAGACGCCCCTCTACCGGCGCCTGCCCAAGCTCGTCGGCCGCCCGACGGGCCCCGGCCACACGAACGAGGTCTTCTCGCTCATCAAGCTCGGCCAGCTCTCGACGCTCGAGCCCAACAGCGAGGTCGACTACGCGGCCTTGATGGAGAAGGGCCTCGTGACCAAGGCCAAGCAGGACATCCTCAAGGTCGTCGGCTCCGCCTCCGACGACGTGCCGCTGCCCGAGGGCCTCACGGTCAAGGCGCACGCGTTCACGCAGAGCGCGCAGTCGAAGATCGAGGCCGCCGGCGGCAAGTGCGTCCTCCTCTCGAAGACGACCAACGAGGTCCTCGCCTAGGCGGGCGGCGGTCCGCCGCCGCCTCCGTCGGGGGCGGCCCTCATCCCCCGGCCGCGACCCCGCGGCCGCCCCGTCTCGCGCGCCGCCGAGACTAGAGCCCCGATGCAAAGTTGTCCGGTGGTTGTTTCGGCCGCCGGTGCGGTTGCTCGCCCGTCGTTGCCATCGGGCTCTCTCATGGAGGTTCAACGTGCCTCATTGCAGCCAGAGTGCCTTTTGCTTGCCTTTTGCGATGGCTTGCGCAATTGCTTGCGCCCTGGCATCGATCAGCGCCGCAGCGCGCGTCTTTGCAAAGGCACGGTAGCAAATACTCTACTTGAGAATGGACGCCTTCGCGGCCATGGAGGCGCGGCGCGCGACGGGCTCGACGGAGTCGAACGCGGTCATGGGCCGCGGCGCGACGGCGGGCTGGGTCCGGTGCCCCCTCTGCAGCGCCCGGCGCCAGAAGCGCTTCGCGCGGGGCCGCGGCCTGCAGATGCACCTCGACGCGGCCCACGGCGACGCGACGGCGGCCGAAAAAGCCGCGGCCGTCGTCGCCGCGGACGCCGCGGGCGCGCGGTCCGGCGCGCGGACGGACGCCGAGGGCTGGGCGGCGGCCGCCGCGGCGAAGCGGCGCGTGCCCGCGGCGTGCGCGGCGGCGCGCGACGGCGACGTCGCGACGCTGGACGCGCTCCGGGCGTCGGGCGCCTTCACGGGCGTCGACGTCGCGCACCGCGACGCGCACGGCTACCGCGCGCATCACTGGGCCGCCGGGACCGCGGGCGGCGCGCTCGCGTGGCTCCTCGACGTCGTGCCCGCGCGCGACGTCGACGCGCTGACGCGCCGCGAGCGCCGCGAGGGCAAGCGCGGCTCGCGGAGCGTGCTCCACTGGGCCTGCCGCAACGGCGTCGCGGACCACGTCGCGCTGCTCTTAGAACGCGGCGACGCGGACTTTGAGCCGTCCGCGGACGGCACGACGCCGCTCATGCTCGCGCTCTACAAGGGCGCCGTCGACTGCTGCGAGTTATTGCACGCCGCGGGCGCGCGCGTGCTCGAGGACGCGAACGACTGGCGCTGCGACGACGCGCACTGGGCGGCGATGGGCGACGACCCGGAGCCCGCGCTCGCGTGGCTCAGGGGCCGCGTCGGCGCGCCCGCCTGGCGCGACGCCCTGGGGCGGGCCCAGGCCCAGGGCCACACGGTCTTCCACAAGGCCGCGCAGCGCGGCCGCGCGAAGGCGCTCGGCTGGCTCCTCCGCGAGGCCGCGGCGGCGCGCGCGGACCTCCGCGCGGCGCTCGCGCCCGACGCCTCGGGCCGCACGCCGGCCCAGGTCGCCCGCGCCGCGGGCTTCGACGACGCCGCGGCGGTCCTCGAGCCCGCGGAGCGGCGGCTGCGGAGGCCGGGCGGGGCGGCGCTCGTTTTGGCGGGAGTCGCGCTCGCGGTGGTTGTCGTGGCGAGGTTCCGAAACTAAATTAGGAAGAGGGATCGAAGTCGAACTCCCCGGGGGTCGGGGCGAACTTGTCGTACCGCATTTGGAGGCGGCCGCGCGCGCGCATGACGCGGCGGGCCATGCTGTTGCGGCGCACGGGGTCTTGGAGCGTCCTCAAGATATGATCGAGAGCCTCCTTGATGCAGATGATCGCAGTATTTATCGTTGCATGCATGAACAAGACGAAGAAAAACAGCCACATAGAGTTTGCGAGGATATCAGGTAGCCACCATTCCGTCTTGATCATCATCTCGCAACGAATCAAGTGCTTTGCCGCGACGCAAACTCGCGTCGAAAACATAATTAACCTCCGCGCGTCGAGCTTAAGTAAGGTAAATATCTTCCAAGCTCTGAAGCGCCAAGCGATATAGCTGAGGGACACCCATTTACTTCCGTCGGGGACGCAATCCGACACGAGGAGAAATTGTAGGGCGAAGAGAAGAAACCGTACGACGGCCCAACCGATGTGCCGACGGGGCCCGAGCTCAAACGCGAGCTTGCTGAATATGAATAAGACTGAGAAGATCAGCATGGCCTTTCCCCTCCTCTTTTTCTCGGCCTTTGCGACGGTTCTACTTGGGGGTTGGTACCCGTCCTCCGAGTCCGACTCGTCCTCGGCATCGTTGTGATGGTTGCTCTCGTCCTCCGACGACGACGCTTCGTATTCCGAGTCGCTGTCAGACAAAACAGGCATAGCGAGCGTCTGTCCAGGCGCGAGGCGTCGTCGCCAAGCTGCGAGCGTCTATCGAGGCGTGAGGCGTCGCTAGCTGCGAGCGTCTGTCGAGGCGAGGCGCTCCCGCGCGCCTGTGGCGAAAACATGGCGAAAAAAAAAAATTGCAGCGGCGCCTGACAAGGCAATGGACGTGAATTCCTGAGCCGCTGCGACGGTCGTTGGCTACTAAGTCGTGCGGGCGCGCGTTGCCTTCAATCGCTGCTGAAGTCGTGCTAACCTTCGGTCCAGCGCGGCGCCGCTCGTCGTCCAACACAGCACAAGAATCCGTCGGTTTTCGCAGCATAGCATGTGGCACTCTTGGGGCTGCTCGTGCGGCTGCACCTTCTCCCCCATCATCTACGAGGAGGGCTCGATCCACATGGACCAGCACGTCTTCGACCAGTGGAACTTCTCGCACGCGATCTGGGGCTTCGCGCTCGGCGCGGTCACGCACGCGCCGCGGTCCGTCGCCGCGTGGAAGATCGGCTTCCTCTTCGTGCTCTGGGAGTTCTGGGAGAACGTCGTCGAGGTCGCCTTCTCGACCTACGCGCCGGGCCAGTACATGGGCGACTCCGTCGTCAACTCCGTCTTCGACATGATCCCGTCGATGCTCGGCGTCTGGCTCGGCCGCCGCGGCTTCGGCGCGTGGCCGCTCGTCGTCGTCGCGGAGGTCGCCGCGACGCGCGCGGGCTTCGGCATCCACTCCGTCTTCCTCGGCCACCAGGGGTCCATCTGCGACGTCCGCGCGCCGGGCGAGTTCGGCACCTGCGCCCAGGCGTACCTGGTGCGCCTCGTCGTGCTGCCGGTCCTCTTCTCGCAGCTCGACGGCCTCCTCTGGCGATGTCTTGCGGCGCGGCGCCGCCGCGCCGGGGCCCCGTCCAAGGCCGCCTTCTGTCCCAAGGCGACGTAGGCGCCCTCTAATCACACATTGTACAGAGTTACGTCGGCGCGGTCCGCCGCCGCTTCGCGCGGTCCTCGACCTCCGCGTCGCGCGTCGCCTCGTCGAGGAGGACGTCGTAGATCTCGCCCGCCGCGGCATCGGGCAGGGGCCGCTCGCCGCTGCGGAAGCCGCGGCAGCCCTCGTCGAAGCAGCGCTGGTGCCACGTCGACGTCGCGAGGTCCACGCAGAGCATGATGTTGTTCGACCTGTGCTCGCGGCCGACGTTCTCGCAGAAGCGGTTCTTCGCCAGGTGGTAGGACAGCACGCCCTCGTTCGCCGCCGCGCCGCGCGACCGCTCCCACTTGCGGACCTGCGCGCCCGGCCGCGCCGCGAGCACCGCCGCGTCGACGGCCGGGAACCGGCCTGGGCAGCACAAGAGTGATTCAACGTCGCTTCAATGTGAGTGTTCCGCGCGCGCGCGTTCCGGGAAAAGCATCCACGCTTCGAGACCGTTCCGAGAGATGATCGCTCGTCCAAAAATCAGCCGAAACGAGTGGAAAACGGCCGAGATAGGAGCCTTTGAAGTTGGGAATTTCGCTCTCTTGTCCTGCCCGGGAACCGGCTCGGCAGGCGGCCCTCGGCGAGCACCGACGGCCGCTCGCGCAGGGGCAGGGGCCGCGGCTGCGGCGCGCTGCGGCGCCGCGCGTCGGCGGGCTCCGGCGGCGGCGCTTCGCCGTCGCGCGCGAGGAGGAGCCGCGCCGCCGGCGCGAGCGGCACGACGAGCGACGCCTCGGGCAGGACGTCGTCGCCGGCGTTCGCGGCGAGCGCGCCCCGGGGCAAAACCACGAGAGGCCGCTGCTTGCCGCGCTTCGTCGAGCCGCAGAGGCGGAAGAGGCGATTCCGCGAGTAGACGGACGCGTCGACGATCGTCTCGAGGCCGCCGTCGCTTCCCCGGACGACGCGGAGCTTCGGCGAGGCCGCTAAAACGCCGCGGACGAAGCCGCCCAGAGCCACGGCGTCGGCAAAGAGCGCGCCGTCGGGCAGCGCGAAGGTGCAGTGGCGCGAGAACTTGCTGTCCGTCGACGCGTCGAGCTGGAGCACGCCGTCGACGTGGTCGACGGCCGAGAAGGGCTCGCCGCGGCGCCGCCGGCAGACGCCCGCCAGATGCTCGTAGAGCGCCGCCTCGTCCGCGTCCGCCGCGGCCGCCGCGGCCTCGAAGCGCGGGATCGCGGCGTCGAGGTCCGGGGACCCGTCGAGCTCGAGGCGCAGCTGCACGTCAAGGTCGGGGCAGAGGTCGTAGAAGCCCAGCGCGTCCGCGGCGGCGGCGTGCTCGCGGAACAATTGCGTCGGCGCGTAGAAGGCCTTCTCCACCGCGTCGGCGAACGTCGCCAGCCACGCGCGCGTCGCGTCGTCGCCGTCGAGCGCCTCGTTGCCCGCCACGGCGAACTCCAGGTCGAAATACGCGCGGCACGGCGTCGCCTCGCGGATCAGCTCGTAGTAGTGGCGCGCGTCGCTCCTGTCGTAGAGGTCGCGGAACGCATGGTCGTGGGCGACGACGTAGCGCCGCTGGCCCTCGGAGCCGATCTCTTCCGCCCAGAGGCGGACGGGGTTGCCGGCGTCGACGCCGTAGAACGCGTAGTCCGCGCGCGCGGCGCTCCGCCGCGCGAAGCCCTCGCGGTCGTCGGCGAAGGCCTCCGGCGCGCCGCGGCCGGCGAGGATGTCCGCGACCTCGAGCGCCCAGGCCTGCTTCGCGAAGATTGTCGCGGAGCCGAGCGCGCGGGCCGCGCGCGCCTCCTCGACGCGCGCCTCGAGCGCCGCGCTCTCCTCGCGCCAGGCCGCGAGCGCCGCGTCGCCGTGCGCGCCCTCGTAGAAGGTCTCGCGCTGCAAGGGCGTGCGCTTTTTTGCGGACTTGATCTTGGGCTTCGCGACGCGCCAGGCCTCGTCGTCGTCCGACGATTCGTCGCGCCGCTGGCTTTGCATGTAGCTGTCGTCGCGCCGCTGGCTTTGGTTTATGCTCGGTTCACGCCGACGAGCAGATCGCCGAACTCGATGGCCGCGCGGCCGCTCTGGCTATGCTGCGAAACGCAGTCGTTGCATGGCAGCCGTCAGCTCAACATCGCAGCGTTTTGAATCGAGGGTTTAGAGCCATGCCCTCTCTTACAAAGTCAATGCTGGCCTCAAGCACTCCAGCTTGCACACGCTGCCCCCCGGCTATGATGGTGCTTAGTATTCATACATGAGCTAGGATGCTGCTGCTGCTGCTGCTGCTGTCGTTTGCCTCCGCGGCGCGCGACGCGGCGCTCGTGGAGCGCGGCGTCGCGGAGTTCGCGGCCTGGAACGTGAGCCGCGCCTGGGCGACGTGGCAGGCGGTCGTCGACGACGCGTCGTCGTCGGTCGAGGCGCTCGCGGCGGCGCACCGCAACCTCGCCGTCGTGCGGGGCTGGGAGTTCGCCGTGGACAAGCCGCACGGCTTCCGGCTGAACCACCGCGTCGACCCGCTCCTCGCGCGGAACTGGACGGCGTCGCTGCATCACGCGCGGCGCTCCGCGTTTTACAGTTGCGGCGACGCGGCGTCGGCGGCCTGCGCCGCGGCGCGGGACGTGGCGACCTACGTCTTCCACAAGCACCACGCGGTCTCCGCGCGCGAGGCGCTCCTGAACGCGTGGGACCGCGCGACGGCGGCCAAGGCCGCGGCGCGGGGGGAGCCGCGCTACTACGTCGAGGTCGGCGTCGCGGACTTCAACGCGCTCGCGCTCCACTTCGAGGGCTCGCGCAGCTGGGCGGGCCTCAGCGTCGAGCCCGTGCCGCGCCTCGCGGCCGCGCTGCCCCGGTCGCCGACGCGCGCCGTCGAGGACGCGATGGTCTGCGCCGAGGACGGCGCGGGGACGCTCATGGTCGCCGACGAGGCCGCCGTCGGCGCCCGGACGCAGTACCTCGGCATGAGTCACGCGGCGGACGCGCCGGACAGGCCCGACGTCGCGCCGGGCGTCTTCGCGGCCGTCGCCGCGCGCTGCGTGTCGCTGCCGACGCTCTTCGCGGCGCGCGGCGTCGGCGAGGTCGACCTGCTCAAGGTCGACGCCGAGGGCGCGGACTACGACATCGTCGCCGCGGCCCTGGCCCACGCGGCGGCGACGCAGCGGCCCATCCACCGGATCGCCTTCGAGTCGAACCTCCGGAGCGGCGCGCAGGTCGACGTCTTCGCCGAGGACGCCGCGCGGCCGGACGCCTTCGGCGCGCGCCGCGACGCGACGCTCGCGCGCCTCCGCGCCGCGCGCTACGACTGCGCCTGCGACGCGACGGACTGCGACTGCGTCGGGCCCATCGCCTACGACGGCGTTTAAGTGAAGCTACTGTGAAGCACTTGTGAAGCCGAGCGTGCACAGCGGGCTGCCTCAAGTGCCAGGAATGCGAGGTGAGAGCATTGCCAAGCACACTTCCAAGCACGCCTTGTTGTCCCTGCGTCGGATCTTCAGCACCTCGTTGACCGTGGTCTCGAGCTTGACCATGGGCTCCTGCGCCAGCGTCATGATGGGCGAGGACGTGCGCATCGCGAAGATCATGTCCAAATTCGAGCTCGTCAAGCCCAGCGACGCCAAGCCGGGCCTCGCGCGCGTCGTGGGCCGCGTCCTGCCCGCGGAGGGCGGGACCGTGCTTACGGCGCCCTGGAGCGGTCGGCCGTGCGTCTACTACGACCTACTCGTCGAAGAAAAAGTCGACACGGACGACAGCTCCTATTGGCAGCCGGTGATCACCGAGGCCAACACCGTGCCCTACCGCCTCGTCGACGTCGAGGGCGGCGGCGTCGCCGTGGACAGCCAGTCGATGGTCTGCACGACGCTGACGGACCCCTGCGCGGTGGAGGACTCGCGCCTGCCGTCGGCGTCGCTCGTCGCGCTCGGCTCGCGATACAATCTACAGATGAAGCGGCACAACTTCTTCGAGGGCGAGACGTACAAAAGGTACCGCGCGACGGAGCGAGCGTTCGTCGTCGGGCAGCAGTGCGCGGCGCTGGGCGTCGTCGCCCACGCGGCCTGCCACAAGTCGCTCCAACCCATGAACCGGTCGCTCGTGTCCAAGGAGGACATGAAACGAGGCCAATGGACTCGCATGGAGCAGATGGCCTGGAACTCGTTCAAGCAGGAGGGCGTCTTCGTCACGTCCCAGCCGAAGCTCATCGGGGACGACCTGCCCTTGCTACCCCAGGCCGCCGTCCCGGTGATGCTGCCGCCGCAGCCCGTCGTCGAGCTCGTGGCGCCGCCGGGCTCGAAGCCGGGGTCGACGTGCCTCTTCCCGCTCCCCGACGGCCGCCAGCTGCAGATCGTCATCCCGCCGGGCGTCGCCGGGGGCATGACGTTCATGGCCCAAATCTAACACAAAACTTAAAGCTCGAGCTCGCCGGACGGCGGGACGACGATCGTGAGGACCTGGACGACCGCGCCCGCCGCCGCGGGGCGGAGGTAGGTCAGGGGCACCTCCTCCCGCGGCGCGCCGACGACGGTCGCGGAGATGCCGTGGGGCGTGCAGGCGATCTTTGTGAAGCGCTTCGGGCTCAGCGGCACGATCTTTCCCAGATCGCCCAAAAGCGCGTGCCCGGATTCGCAGACGGGCGCGAGCCACGTGACCGACGGCGCGTAGTCCGTGCCCGCCGTCGCGTTGGAGAAGTCCGACGCCGGCAGCGTGACGACGGGCGCGGCGGCCGCCGTCGTGAACGTCACGCAGGACGCCGCGGGCGCGCCGTCGGCGCACGGCGCGCCGAGGCGCTCGCGGACCGCGAACGTCACGTTCGCCGCGAGCCGCGGGTAGAAGTCCGACGCGTTCACGGCAAAAGGGTCCTTGAGCTTGAAGGAGACGAGGCCGTGGGCGGCGGCGGCGCTCCCGAAGGGGACGTGCGCGCCGAGCACGTGGCCGCCGGCCGGCCCGTTCCCCGCCAAAATCGAGTCGACGGACGTGAGCGACTTCGCCGCGTTGAGCAGCGTCCCGTCGGCGGAGATCGCCGACTTCAAAAGGTCGTAGTCCGTGTGGCCGAGGCCGTCGGAGATGCCCACGGGCCCGCCGCTCATCAGCGCGACGGCGACGTGGAGCGGCGCCGCCGCGGTCTCGTGGTCGGGCGTCCAGGGGCAGCCCGGCGTCGCCGTCCGGTTGTTGTCCGACGTCCAGAGCGTGTCCTTGGACGGCGCCTTGCCCAGCGCCCAGACGAGCAGCGACGAGACGCCGACGTCCCAGGACTCGCCGTAGCAGAAGTCGTTCGACACGCGGAAGTTCGTCACCGCGGGGAACGCCGTCGCGGAGAGGACGTCCGTGGGCGTCGCGTAGCACCATTGCACGCTCACGTTCCTCGCCAGGGCCGCGTCGGCCATGCCCCGCTGCCAGGTCTCCGCCGCGTCGACGGTCTGTACGAAGTCGTCGACGCAGTTGTAGTTCGCCTGCATGAAGTCGGGCTCGAAGCTCACCATGCCCTGGGCCATCCCCCGGTCGAACATAGCGCCGTAAAACTCCAACGACTGCGCCGGCGCCACGTCTTCGAACGCGTAGTCGCGGCAGCCCTCGCGGCTCGTGTTCGAGACCAGAGACGTCCACGGCGACGTGTCGTTGAAGTAGTCGCTGCCGGGGCAGAAGTAGGGCGCGTAGAGCTGCACCGGCGCGTCGAAGGCGCGGGACAGCTCGCCGACGGACAGCGGGTACTGGCTCCCGAGGCCGCCGTCGACGCCCCACGTCGACACGCACCACGGCGCGGCCTGGCCCCGGCCCGACGACGCGCCGGCGCCCTGGAAGCTCAGGTAGCCCATGGGCGCGCCGTTGCCGCGCAGCTCCGCGCCCTTGTCGATCAGAGTCCGGGAGCAGTCGCCGCCGCCGCAAAAACAATAAAACGCGCCGTTGTCCGTCTGGTAGCCGACCTTTTGCAGCGTCACGTCGTCGTAGGGTGTCGCGCCCTGCTTGCGCCGGATCAGGGCGCCCCAGGCGGCCACGGCCGCCGTGATGCTCCCCGTGTCGCCCACGCTCACGAGAAACTCGTGGCTGAAGTTCGCCGGGATCGAGTCCACGGTGCCCGCGGTGCCCGGCGCCCAGACCGCCGGCGCGCCGTCCCAGGTCTTTCCCGGCCCCGCGGAGCTCGCCTTGAAGGACGAGTAGGCCGACGCGACGGCGGCCGTGGCGCCGTCGAAGACGACGAGCGGGCCGCCCATCGGGCCCGTCGTCGCGGCGCCCGGCGACGGCCGCACGAAGGGCCCGCCCCAGGACAGCCGCCCGGCGCCGAAGGCGCTCACGAAGCAGGGCCAGTTCGCGACGACCGACTCGTGGGACTCGCCGTTGTGGGCGTAGGGCGACGTCCTCGCCGCGCCGTCCGGGAAGGAGATCGCGAACACGGCGGCGGCCGCGGCCGCGACCGCGCGCGTGACGACCCTGGTGCCCGTGTCCGTGGCCCAGGTCATCTCGACGCCCTCGTAGGCGCCGATGACCGCGTCGTCGCCGTCGACGAGGTCGTAGGCCGTCAGGTTCAGCGTCCGGTCCTGCTCGCTCTTCCACGCGCCGTCGACGAAGACGGCGACGGAGTTCGTTCCCGACTTGAATAACGTGCGCGTCTCGTCGGCGATGGCGTAGGTCGACGCATCCGGGGCCATGACGATCTTGAGGGCCGTCGTGGGCGCGAGCAGCAGCCCGAGCAGGCTCAGGAAGGCCATCTTCATTATCGGCTGGAGATCGTCGGCTGCGCGGCAACGACGGTGGACCGCCGTCGCAAGAGCGATGTTATGCGTTTGTGTGCGTATTTTGCGAGCTGCTGGAGGGTCGTCAAGCCGTTCAGCGCCGCGCTGAAGGCGGCGGTGGAGCAGCGGAAGACCTCGCAAGAGCTGGGGTGTGGCATCTTTGTGGCAAATCTGTGGCAAATATTGGCCTGGCTGGAGAGAGCGTATGGGATCGTCTCGAGCTTTAGACTTGGCCTCTCATCTCCTCGGTGACGCGATCGAGCTTCATAGACTTGGCCTCTCATCTCCTCGGTGACGCGCCGCGCCGCAACATCACCATGGCCCACTACGCGAACCTCGGCGCGCAGATCATCCCGCTCTTCCCGCCGCCGTCGCCCGCGGGCCGCGTGCTCGACGCCGGCACGCTCGAGTCCATCTCGAAGCTGACGGCGGAGATGGGCGACGCGCAGCACCTCTTCGACGGCGAGGACGCGTGCGCCCTCGCCTACGTGGCCAAGGTCGCGGCGGGCCACACGACGCTGCCCGAGGCGAGGCAGTACTGGGCGCGGCCGAGCCCGTTCCTCCGCGCGAGCCCGCCGCCGCTCGACGTCGCGATGGACCGGACGTTGCTGATCTTGTACCTGAAGCGGCGCTTCGGCTACGGCAGCTTCCTCGAGATCGGCTGCCGGTCCGAGGCCAACTTCTCGCGCGTGCCCTTCGTCGACAAGGTCGGCGTCGACCCCGTCGCCGGCGGCAACGTCCGCGCGACGTCCGACGAGTTCTTCGCGACCTGCGGCCGGACCTTCGACCTCATCTTCGTCGACGGGCTCCACGAGTCGGCGCAGGTCGTGCGCGACGCGGCGAACGCGCTCCGGATCCTCAACCCGGGAGGGACGCTGCTCTTCCACGACTGCAAGCCCCTCCTCCCGCCCGAGGGCGCCTTCCCGATGGCGCCGGGCACGGTCTACTGGAACGGCACGGTCCGCTGCGGCGTCGCACGATCTTTTTTTTCAGCCGGAGATGATTCTTGTTTTTCGTAGGTCTGGCAGGCCATCGCCCACCTGCGCACGGCGCCGGACATCGACGTCGTCACGGCGGACTTCGACTGGGGCGTCGGCATCGTCCGCCGCGCGCCGAACTCGAGCCCCATCGCGCTCCGCGTGCCCTTCGGCCAGCTCACCTGGAGCGACTACGAAGCCAACTGGCGCGCCTACCTCCGGCCCTCGACCATGGTCGAGGTCGACGCCTTCCTCACGGCCACGGCGCCGCGGCGGCGGTAAGAGATTTACGGGGCATGTGCAGGGTCCGGCGCGCGGAGGAAGCGTCGCGCGTCGGGTTCCTCGGTTTCAACGTCTGTTTCCTCCTCGACGACCTCGTCCGAGGACTCGTCCGCTTCCTCCTCGTCCTCGCTCGTGTCCGTCTCACTCGTTTCCTCCTCGCGTGTTTCTTCCTCGCCCGTTTCCTCTTCGCTCGTTTCCTCCTCGTCCTCCTCCTCGTCCGGTTCGTCTGCGCTCGACGCGCTCGGCGAAACTGTCGGCGCGTACGAGGGCGTCAGCGTCGGTCGCGGCGACGGATAGTCGACCGCCGAGATGATGGCGGTCTCCTCGGCGCCGTTCCAGATGCGCACGAAGACGATGAAGGAACACATACTAAGCAGGACAATAAACACGAATCCGACCAACGCTCGTCGCCGCCCGCGCCGCTGTCCCGGGTGTTTGATGAACAGCGGCCGCATGACGTCGTCCGCATCGTCGCGGAACAGGAGCTCGGGAGGGATCGCCGTCCTTTCGTAGAAGCTGTTGCGGCCCGTCGGCTCTGGTCTTCTCTCGCTCGTGTAGCCGACGGGCTTAAAGTTGTTCTCGACGAAGTACTGCTTAAAATTCATCTGGCGATTTCTTCGCTCTCGGCGGCGAATCGCTCGAGTGAACTTGTCTGGGACGGCGCTCTCGACGCCTTCGACGCCGACTGACACGGCCGGGGGCACCGGTCACGCCCCGGCACTCACGCGAGCGCTTAGAAACGCGTCGAAACAGAGCACGCGACGCTCGCCGGCCGTGTCCACAAGCGAGCAAGCACCTTCCTCATCTCACGAGCGGCCGCTGGCAGTGCTGCGGCGCTGGGCACATGAGCTGGGGGCCTGGTGCCGGCAGTGGGGCCCCCAGCCCTGTCCGCAGCGCCCCCACGACCCCAGTCTCTTACTCGAGGATCAGCGTCTTCGTGCGCCCCTGCGCCGCCGTCGTCGCCGCGGGCTTCGCGGGCTTCGCGGCGGCGGGCTTCGCGCGGGCCCTGGGCGGCGCCGCGGTGCGGTTGATCTCCTTTTGGCGTTTTTCCTCTTTCTGGAGGTCCGGCGGCGCCGGCGGGGGCACGCCGTCTTTGATGTTCGCCGGGAGGTCCCCCTCCCAGTTGACGACCTTCATGAACTCGTCCTCCGTGAACGCGAGCAGACGCGCGGCCTCGAGGTGCGTCTTCTGCTTCTTGAGGATGTCGATGAGCTTCGTCTGCTTGCGGAAGGCGCCGAGGAGCTCGGCCTTCTGCTTCTCGAGCTTCTTGATGCGCACCTCGAAGCCCTCGCGCTCCGCGCGGAACTCGTCGGCCGCGTCGCGCGCGTTCTGCCGCTCGACGAGCGCGCCCTTCTTCAGCTTCTCGACGTCCTCGAGGGCCCGCGTGAGGCGCACGTCCTTCGTGTGCTGGTCCTTGCCCTTGTGGGCGTTGTCGCGCTTCACCTCGCGGAGCACGCGCTCCGCGGCGGCTAAATCGCGCTTCGCGGCGGCCGCGGCGTCCTCCGCGTCCTTCCTCGCCTTCGCGTCCTTCTCCACGAGCGCCTTCAGCTTGTCGAGGTCGCGCTTCTGCATCTTGCGGTCCTTCTCCAACACGCTCAGCTTCGCCTCGAGGTCGCCGACCGACCGCTCGAGGGCCGCGGACTTTTGCTTCTCGCGGTCGAGGTCCTCCCTTAAGACGTCCGCCTGGGCCTTGCCCAAACGCCGCTCGGCCTGGGCGGCGAGCCGGCCCTCGGGCGTCCGCGCCCGCGGCGTCTTCGCCGGCGCCGACGCGCCGCCGAGCCAGGCGTAGGCCGCGTCGCCGCCGCTACCGGGCGCGGGCGACGACCGCGGCGGCGTCTCCTCCCCCTCCGGCCGCGCGGACCGCCAGCGCGTGCGGCCGGGCGCGGGCGCGGACGCGCCGTCGTCGCGCCGCGCCGACGACGACGCCTCCCGCGACGCGCTCCGCGGCGCCGGCGCCGGCGCCAGCGCGGGCACGGGCGGCGCGCTGAAGGCGCCGCGCGACGCGAGCTCGAGCTCCTCGTGGCGCTGGCGCTCGAGCATGGCCTCCACGTCGCCGTCGAGGTCGCCCATCTCGTCGTCGAGCGCCGCGTTGATGCGCGTCAGCGCCTCTTCGCGGCGGCGCAGCTCTTCGATGTCGTCCATCGTTTGAGTTCTCTCAAATGGGCAGCTTACCTGTGCGCAAGGGGATCTTGAAGATCCCCTTGCTGTGCGGCACTCACCAAGCTTGAGGCCAGCGGTGCAGGCTCTCCGAGGTGTCGAGGTGAGGTGGACCTCGTCTCGACTTCGTCGGCGCCGCACCAGCGTTGCCTCGCCCTCGCTCTCGGCGCTGCCGCAAAAAGCGCGCTTCAGCCTCGCAACTCGACGCCGCTCAAAAACGAGAAAGCACCTCGCCGGTGCATGCGCCGGCTCGCCCTCTGCGCGACGCTGCTGCTGAGGCTGCCGACGACGAGCAGCATGTCGGCCATGACGAACACGATGGCGACGAAGGACGGCAGCTACAAGCGCAACGCGTCGAAGCACCGCGGGACGAGCGTCGAGCCCGAGGCGGGCCGCTACCGTCTGCACGTCGCGCTCGCCTGCCCCTGGGCCGCGGGCGCGCTGTCGACGCTCTATCTCAAGGGCCTCGAGGACGTCATCGCCGTGTCCGTCGTGCACCCCACCTGGCAGAAGACGCGCGACGACGCCGACGACGCGCACTGCGGCTGGGTCTACCGGTCGCCGGGCGACGCGCCGCTGGCGAACCCGCTCGGCCACGGCTCCTTCGACTGCGACGACGCCCTGGCGCCGGACCCGTCGGGCGCGTCGTCGATCCGCGACGTCTACGCGAGCTGCGGCGACCTCGACGGCCCCTTCACGACGCCGCTGCTCTTCGACACGAAGACGAACGACATCGTCTCCAACGAGTCGCTCGACATCCTCCGCATCCTCAACGGCCAGTTCGACGGTCTCGCGAAGCGTCCGCGCGTGAACCTCTACCCGGAGGCGCTCGAGGAGGAGCTGGCGGCCCTCAACGCCGACGTCGTCTACCCCTGCGTCAACAACGGCGTCTACCGCTGCGGCTTCAGCAAATCGCAAACCGCCTACGACGCCGCCGCGCGCGACCTCTTCGGCGCGCTGGACGCGCTCGAAACCAAGCTCGGCGAGCGGCGCTTCCTCGGCGGCGACCGGTTCACGTGGCTGGACCTCCGGCTCTACCACACGCTCGTGCGCTTCGACCCGGTCTACAGCGTCTACTTCAAGACGAACGCGCGCCTGCTCAAGGACCACCCGAACCTCTACGCCTTCGTCCGCGACGTCTACGCCCTCGACGCCGTCCGCCGGTCGACGAACATGAAGCACATCAAGACGCACTACTTCACGTCGCACGCGCACCTCAACCCCTACGGCATCATCCCCGCGTCCGACGGCCCGGACCTCGAGCGCCCCGCGGGCCGCGGCCCGCCCGTCGACCTGGAGATGGTAAATTAGTCGTTCTGCATCTCGCCGAAGAGCCGCAGCAGGTAGAAGAACAGGTTGATGATGTCGAGGTACAGCGTGATGGCTCCCAGGACGTAGTCCGACGTGTTGAGCTGCCGCTTCTTGCCGCCGACGACGAGCTGCGTGTCGTGCACGATGAAGGCCGAGAAGAGCAACGCGCCGACCGTCGAGCCGGCGAGCGAGTTCATGGGCACCTTGAGGAGCACGCCGGCGACCGTCGAGACCGTGAGCACCATCAGACCCGCGAGCAGCGCCGACCCGACCTGCGTGAGGTCGTACTTCGCGTTGGGCTGGAAGGCGTAGGCCGTGAGCGCGCCCGTCGCGGCGCCCGTCTGCAGCAGCGCGAGGAGCACGGACTGGAGCTTGTAGGCCGACGCGGCGACGCCGACGACCGCCGACTCGGCGAACGCGAAGAGCGAGAAGAGCGCGAGCGAGCTCGACGGGTCGCGGCGCAGCGACGGCGCGAAGGAGAGCGCGAGGGGGGTCACGAAACCCACGGCGGCGCAGACGCCGAAGAGCACGCGCCCCAGGGGCTGCGTGATCAGGTAGCGCACGGCCGCGGGATGCGCGGACCCGAGGACGCACGCGAGCGCGGTCAGCGCCAAGTTCGCCGTCAGCAGGCCGTAGACGCGGCGCACGAAGACGACGCGCGAGTCGCGGTCCAGCAGCTCGTCGAGCGGCTTCGCGTCGACGACGTCGTCGATGGACTCGGGCCGCAGCTGGCTCGTGCCGCTGCTCGGCACGATGCTCCGCGCCGCCGACCGGTGCTTCGCCCAGGCGTCCTGCTGCGGCGTCACCCAGCGCGTCGGCTGCGACGACCCGCCGCGCAAGCGCACGGCGGTCGGCTGCGACGACCCGCCGCGCAAGCGCACGGCGGGCAGCGCCGCCGCGCCGCATAGGAGCAGGAGAAGCATGTTGCGCAGAGCTCAAAGCGAGGCAACAATACTTCAACCACAACTTCATTTACGTGATCGCCTGCAGATACGCGGCCTTCGCGGTGACGGCCGTGACCTTGCGGATGAAGGTGAAGCCGAGGCGCGTCGTCTCCTCGAGGAGCGCGTCGTCGAGGACGAACGTCTCCGCCGCGGTGACGCCCGTCGTGTCCGGGGAGCAGTAGATGAAGGTGCCCGGCGCCTGGTGGGGCCGCCGGTGGATGGTCATGCTGTTGATCCAGTAGTACTCGTCGGGCGCGCCGCCTGTGCAAAACAAATGTCAGATCCGCAACAACAAAAACGGGCGGTCTCGCACCCCAGATCTTCTCGAAGACGTCGAGGTAGGGCTCCTGCTCGACGGCCTCGAAGTCGTCGCGCGTCACCGCGCAGAACATGTTGCCCTTGCGGATCTCGCGGGGCTCGAAGCGCACGGCGCTCGGCAGCTTCGGCCGCACGTGGTGCTCGTAGTTGCCCGCGTGGTCGCGCGCCTCGCGGTCGGACGGCGTCGTCTGGATCTGGAACGTCGTCCGCGTTACGCGCCGCGCGAGCTCGTCGAAGGGCACGAGGGGCAGCATCGTGTCCGAGACGAGCACGAAGACGTCGCAGCCCGCGTCGCGCGCCGCGCGGAAGAGCTTGTGCGTCGCCTCGACGAGCGCGATCGACGCCCACTCCGTCTCGACGGGATCCGGCAGCACCCTCGCCGTCGGCAGGTCCACGCGCGCCGTCGTCGGCGCCTTGCTGTGCACGAAGACGCGGAAGCGGTTTTCGTCGGCGGGGAGGAACGCGCGCCAGAGGTCCTGGTGCTTCGGCGCGTCGTAGACGAGGAAGCAGAGGCCCACGCGCGCGGCGCCCGGCGGCGGCCGCAGCTGCTTCTCGCTGACCCAGCCCCGCGCGCCGCCGCGGCCGCGCCGCAGGCCCACCTCGACGCGCGCCACGCCGCCCTCGACGGTCCGGCGGCCGTAGCAGTCGAGCGCCGTGCCCAGCGGCAGGTCCGCGACGACGGGGCTGCCCAGGTCCGGCCCGGCGCGCACGCGCGTCTTCCGCGCCTACGGGATGCTGGTGTTTGTCTGCTTTCATGTGTGGTTGACGAACCAGGGTGATCCTCTGGCATGCCGCGGGCTGCCACGAGGCCATTGCTTCGGGCGGCCGCAAGTGTACATGCACGTTTAATGCAATGAACGGAGTTGTACTTCAACTCTGTGCACGCGCTTTACGATGTTGGCTGCCCGAATACGCCTGAGACGAGGGCTGCTTCTGGTCCTCTGCGGCGCCTCGCTCGCAGCCGCGCCAAGGTCGAAGCGCGCTACGGCGCCGACGCCGCCGCCACCGAAGAACCACTTCGTCGCCGGGGCGCTCGCGAGGGCGGCGGCGATCGTGGTCATGTATCCTCTGGACACACTCAAAACTCGCGCTCAGTGCAACGACCCGCCGCACCTGCGGCTCAAGAACGTCTACGCGGGCGTCTTCGGGTCCCTCGTCGGCTACGTGCCCTCGGCGGCCATCATCTTCGGCTTCTACGAGCGCGCGAAGGCCTTCCTGCTGCTCTCGGGCTTCGGCGCGGCGCGCGCGGCCTTCGGCGCCGCCGTCGTCGGCGACGCCCTCGGCGCGCTCTGGCTCGTGCCCCACGAGGTGCTCAAGCAGCGCCTCCAGACGGGCGTGCACGGCGCGCTCGGCGCCGCGGTCGCCGCGACGTGGCGGACCGGCGGGCTCCTCGGATTCTACTCGGGCCTCCGCGGCCAGCTCCTGCGCGACATCCCCTTCAGGTGCATCCAGATGACCTTGTACGAGAGCCTCAGGGGCCGCGGGTCCGCCGGCGTCGTCGGCGCGGCCGTGGGCACGGCGACGGCGCTGATCACGACGCCCATGGACCTCGTCAAGACGCGCGTCATGGTCACCGACGGCCGCCTCGGGAGCGTCGTCGCCGACGTCTACGCGCGCGAGGGCGTCGCGGGCTTCTGGCGCGGCGCGCTGCACCGCGCGGCCTACGTCGGCCCGTCGACGGCGATCTTCTTCGTCGTCTACGAAGCCGCGGGGCGCCTCCTCCTCGAGGGCGGGGGCGAGCTCTAGAAAGCTTTTACGCGGGGTCGAACTCGGCGTCGTCGCTGTCGTTCAAGCGCGCGCGCTCGTCCGACGGGCGCCCGCCGCCCTGGCCGAGGGCCATGAGGATGAGGGACGCGGTCCGCGCCTTGGCCTTGCCGCCGTGGCGCTCGTCCTCCTTGTTCATGAGGTAGTCGCGCACGAGGTAGAGCGCGCAGGAGTCCTGGGGCGGGATGCGCAGCAAGAAGTACCCGTGGTCCTGCGCCTTGCCCAAGAGGATGAATCCGGTCACGAACAAAAGGAACGCGAGCTGGTTCACGCGCGCCTGCAACGGCTCCCACTTGGGCGTCGCGACGCAGCAGCCGAAGGTCACGGGCCGGCTGTACAGGAGGCCGAGATGGGCGAAGGGGATCGCTAGCGCGAGAAACGCGAGCTTCCGTCGCCGCTCCGCGCGCGCCGAGTGGTAGCCCAGCAGCGCGTCGTTTATCAGCGACGAGACCCCGAAGAGCCGGCAGGCGTCGAAGACGAGGAAGATGCCGACGGTCGCGTGCGCCGCGTACCAGTAGAAGGTCATGACTCGTCCGAGGCCGGCCTGCTCCGCGCTCAACACCGTCTCCTCGCAGCGGTGGCATCCCTCCGCGACGGCGTAGTCGTACTCGTCGGGCTCGAGCACGGAGAATTCGCGCACTCGTTTCAGAGCGCCGTGGACGATCCACAGCGATCCGATAGTGCCGAACCAGCCCACGCGCCCGATGGGGCAGCCCCTCGACGAGAGCCGGATCGGCGCGAGCACGGGCCGTCCCAGCAAGGACGACCAGCGCCGCTCAAAGTAGTCGGAGACGCGCAGCGACTTGACCTGCGACATGGCCCAGGTCGCCATGGCGCCGCGCCGCTCGACACCGGCCACGAGCCGGCCCAGATGAGCGGCCCGACTTTCAGACGAGCGAGTTGACGCAGGTCGCCATGGCGCCGCGCCGCTCGACGCCAGGCCCCGACTCGCAGCAACCAAGTTGAAGAGAACGCAAATGCTCAACTTTGGCCGGGCAGCATCATCTGGCAGCATTCACCATCACAGTTATGGAGGGCCGCGCGACGCCGCCGGCCCCGCGCTCCCCCACGCGGAGCCAGGTCGTGGAGCGCGAGGTCGAGGAGATGGCGGCGAAGCGGCGCGAGATGGACGAGCTCGAGTCGGCCCTCAAGGCCAAGTCCGAGAGCCTCGACGCGCGCGTGAGCCGCCTGCGCGTGTCCGCGGAGAAGCAGCGGTCCGCGGGCCGGGCGCGGCGCACGCCCGTGCCGAGCCGGTCGCCGGCGTCGTCGCGGGCGCCGGCGTCGCCGCGGTCGCCGGCGTCGTCGCGCCGGGGGCGGCCCGTGGCGACGCCGTCCGCGTCGCCGCGGCCGTGGACGCCCGGCGGCGCGGAGCCGCGGCCGAGCCCCGGCGCGGCGCGGCCCCTGCCCGCCGCCGGCGCCGGCGACGCCGCGGCGGCAAAATGGGCGTCCCTGTCGTCGGAGATCGACGACGCGCTCGGCGCGGCCGCGGCGCGGCCGCCCGCGGCCGCGGCGCCGCCGCCGCGGCCCGCGGAGCCCGCGGCGGCGCGGCAGACGGCCCTCGCCGACGAGGTGCGGCGCGCCGCCGCGCGGGGCCGCGAGCTCGCGAGGAAGCTCAAGGCCGCGGACGTCGAGGGCGAGCGCCGCGCGACGGAGGGGCGGCAGCTCGCCGCGCTCTGCGAGTCCGTGGAGCAGCGCCAGCGCGCCATGCTCGACCAGGCGGACCGCCTCGCCGCGCAGGAGCGCCAGCTCGCGGCGCGCCTCGCGGCCGTCGTCGCCCAGCAGGACCGGCCGGACGACGGCGACGACGACGACTTCGCCGCGGGCGACCGCCCGTTCGCGGCCGCGACGCTGGTCGAGGCCGCGGCGCTCCTCGAGCCGCGGCGCGACGCGTTGGCGACGCGGGCGGCGCGCGAGCCCGAGCGGCCGGGCGCCGCGCCGTCGCGGCTCGAGCGCGCGTGGCTCGGCGCGCTGCGAGCCGAAATCGCGGCCGTCGACGCCGTCGGGCCGTCGATCGCGGCGCTCTGGCCGCCGCCGAGCACGGCCGGCGCCGCGCCGGCGTCGGCGCCGCCCTGGGCGCGGCCCGCGGGCGGGCTCGCCGCGCCGCGCTGGGACGCGCGCGCGCCGTCCGCCGACGAACTTTTCGACGAGACGCTGTGCGCGCTCGCGTCGACGCGGGCGCTGCGGGCGGGCGCCCTGGGCCGCGGCGACGGCGCGGCCTTCGGCGGGGCCTGCGTCGTCGTCGACGTCTGCGGCGTCGACGCGCTCCGCGACGAGACGACGGACCGCTTCCAGAACACGCGCGGCGAGGGCGGCCTCCCGGAGTGGGGCGGCGGCGCCGCCGCGCCGGCGGCGCCGCCGGGCGCGTCGCGCGTCCGCGAGGCCGCCGCCGGCGCCGAGGAGCTCGCGGCCCTCGACGAGGCGCGGAGTCGGGCGCTGGAGCTGCTGCGGCGGCCCGAGGCGGACGGGTCCGCGGCGCTCGACGCGCGCTGGGCCGCCGTCGACGGCGTCTACGCGGCGGCGGCCGCGGCTTTGGCGGCCGCCGGCGGCGACGTCGTGCGCGTGACGACGTCGGGCGCCCTCGTCGCCTTTTTCCGCGACGACCGGGGCGTCGACGGCGCCGTCGCGGCGGCGGCGCTGTCGGCGCTCGCGCTCTGCGCGTCCGAGGGCCCCGTCGCGGGCGCCTGCGAGGCCGCGGGTCTGCCGAGCGTGCGCTGCGCCGTCGCCGCGGGCCAGCTGCGCGTGTCCGAGGTCGCGCTGGGGCCCGACGAGATCCGGCTCGTGCCCTCGGGCGCGGCGCTCGAGGCGGCGACGCGCGCGCTCGCCGTCGGCGGCGGCGAGATCGGCGACGTCGTCGCCACGGTAGACGCCAAGGCGCGCCTGTTGAAGCGGGGCTGGCCCAAGGCCGCCTTCGAGCCCGAGGACTTTGCGGCCCGCGGCAAGTTCACGACGCTCGTCCGCGCGCGCAAGCCGCCGCCGCCGCCGCGCGGCCCGGCCTCGACGAAGGAGCGGGGCCCGCTGCGCGCGGCCCTCGTCGCCGCGCCGAGCCCGCGGGCCCGGTCGGGCGTGCGATCTCGCGTGCCCCTGCTGGCCCGCGAGGACGCGGCGGCGCCGGGCGACCCGCGGCGCGTCCACGGAACGCCCGCGGGCGCGTCGGGCTGCACGATCGTCTGCGCCAAGGTGGTGGTCGCCGGGGGCCTGACGCAGGCGACGCGCGACGGCGCTGCCAAGGCCGTGAGCCGCGGCGTGCGGGGCTTCGGCGGGCGCGTCGTCGACGTCGCGGCGTCCGACGACTGGATTACCATCTGCGCCGCGTTCTTCGCCGAGCCGCCGCTGCGCGCGTCGGCGGGCCGCGGCGCGGCGGCGGCGCTCGCCGTGGACTACGCGCTGACGGCCCTGGAGACGGCCGCGCGGATGACGTGGGGCGTCGGCGCCGCGTCCGGGTTAGGGGTGCGGAAGACGTGCGGCCGGCCCGACGCGGGCAAGGCCCACTTCGTCACGTCCACGGCCATCGCCGCGGCCATGGCTTTAGCGAATGGCGCGGCGTCCAAGGTGAACTGGGCGGCCCTCGACGCGCGGCACGCGCACGACGGGGCCGCGCCGCGGGTATTGTGCGACGAGGCGACGCAGCGCGCCGCGCGGAAGCAGACCGTGGCCCTGCCGCTGGCCTACTTCCCGCGGGGCGCGGATTTCAGCGGCGACGCGCCCGACGACTCGGCGGCGGCGGCGGCGGCGCTCAAGGGGCCCCACCTCGCGTCGCCGTGGGGCGCGAAAAGAGCCGTGGGCTTCTCGCGCGACGGCCACTTCATGCTCCTGCCGGCGGCGGAGGCGCCGGAGTTGGTGAGCGGCCTCGACGCGGACACGCCCCGCTGCGTGTCCTGCCCCGCGCCCCTGCTCCGGGCCGTGTCGGACCAGCGCGGCGGCGACGACCACCACGTGCTCCTCGACGACCCGCTCGGCGACCTCGCGCCCAAGGCGAAGCAGCTCGCGAAGCGCGCCTTCGCGCTGGCCTTCGGCCACTGCCGCGCGGCGGACGACGGCGCGCCGCCCGCGGGGCCCGGCGGCCGCCGCGAGCCGCGCGCGGCCGCCGCGCCGCTCGGGCGGTCCGCGTTCGCGAAGCTGCTGCCGGCGCTGCTCGGCGCGGGCTCCTACGACGACGCCCTCGCCGACGCCCTCTGGGCGCGGTCCGGCGGCGACGCGGCGACGGCGACGGATCTCGCGCGCGCGTGGGCGCGGTTCCCGCGCGACGAGGGCGAGGACGACGGCAACGGGTCGCTGCTGCTGCTCGGCGACGCCTACGAGGCGCTGCGCGCGCGCTGCGCCGACGTGCCCCGGACCGCGCGGCGCGATTTACTGGCGGCCGTGGACGCGCTGCCGCCGCCGCACCAGCTGCTGCTCCGCGCCGCGGCCGTCGCGGCGGGGTGCGGCGACGTCGGCCTGCTGCGGGCCGCGCTCGCCCCGACGCCGCCGGGCGCGCCGGGCGTCGGGGGCTTCGAGGCCTTTGGCGCGTCCTGCGACCGGAGCGGCTTCCCCGCCGGCGAGGAGACGTTTGACGCCGTTTTGGACGGCCTCGCGGAGCTCGGCTTTCTAACGGTCGACCGCGCGCGCGCCGCGTTCTCGTTCCCCGACGCGCTCCTCCACGACGCCGTCCTCGACTCGACGCCGGCGAAGCGCAAGCGCGCGCTCCACGCCTTCCTCGCGAAGCGGCTCCGGTCCGCGCAGCGGCGCCACGCGGACGCGCCGGGCGGCGAGGAGCGCGCGGCCGTCGCGCTCGCGCACCACGCGGTCGGCGCGGGCGACGCGGAGCTCGCCTGCGAGGCGGCGGCGGGGCTGGCGGCGCTGGGCGGCGCGACCTTCGTGGCGGCCTTCGCCACCGTCGCGGTCCTCGGCGCGCCCGCGCCCGCGCAATCGGTGGACGTGCCGCTCGCGCCCGACGAGGTCCTGGCGCCGCGCCGCGCGACGGCGCTCCTCGCGTCCCTGCCGGCCTACCGCGGCGCCCTCGACGCGCTCCGGGCGGCCCAGGTCGCGACGACGCTCCTGAAGGCCGCCGACAAGTTCCTCGCGAAGTTGAAGCTCCCGGCGACGGACGACGCGGACCCGGCGGACTTCGAGGCGGGGGGGGCGCTGGCGTAACCTAGTGGCCGCCGTAGGGGCAGTAGAAGGCGACGACGTGGCCGGCGACGTCGTCCGGGAGGACGGCGCGCGCGCACTTGGAGACGACGCCGGCGAGGATCTTGCGGTGGCGGCGCGCGTAGGCCTCGAAGGGAGTGATGTCCTCGGTGCTTTCGGCCGCTGCCTGCTCGATCTTCTCGAAGAGGTGCCAGGCGGGACCCTTTACTGCGCGCTGCTCGTTGACCCAGCGCAGCATAAAGCGAGAGCCTCGAGGAATTCTCTTGCGGAGCAGGGCAAAATCAGCTCCCGCGCGCATGAGAGTCAACAAGACACGACGGTTCCCGTTCAGTAGGGCGTCTCTGGCTGGCAGACGACGTCTCATACCTTGGCCGCCGAGGATCACTTCTTCGCTGCTAGCATTGACATCCGCTCCGGCCTCGAGGAGAGCGACAACCGTCTTTTGTTGCGCGCGGGTGGCGTCTGACGCGCTACGCTCCGGGCCGCGGAACTCCCCCGGACGGCCGCGGAACTCCCCCGGACGAGCCGCGGTCGACTGCAATGGACCGCAGACTGCGACAATAAGAGCTGTTTCTCCGTTGATATCTCCCCGGTTAACATCTGCACCGTACCCGAGGAGCATGGAGACGGCATCAGGCTGGCTGTTGCAGGCCGCATCCATCAATGCGCAATCCAGAGTGTCCAAAACATACGCCCAGTTCCCCACGACATCCGCCCAGTCCCCAAACGCGTCAAGCAGTTGTCGCAGCTCTTGCAGCTCTCCACGAAACGCTGCCTTGCGCAGAGCATCCTGCACCCGCCTCATCCAGCCCATGCGCCGCGAAGGGCCATCGATAGAAGGCAATCAGCCGATTTAGCTTCGGGACTGCAACGAGTCGGGCGCGCAACCCCTTCAATAACTAGTCCAACGAGTTCCATCTTGAAGCACATCGTCCGCGAGCGGCCGCGCTGAGCAAGCCGAAGCGCGCGCACGCGAGCGACCCGCCCGCCACCACAGTAGCACCGCGCGCCCGTCGCGCAAAGCGCTCACGATGCTCGCCCTGCGCGGCGCGCGCCTCGCGGCGGCGGCGGCCCCCCGGGGCGGCGCGCTCCAGCGCGCGGCGGCGGCGCCGCGCTGCTCCCTCTCGACGACGACGGGAAAGGCCTGGGAGCCGCCAAAGGCCAAGGTGGCGCCGTCGTCGAAGCGGCTCGACGCCATCAGCGCGTCGATTTTCGGGACCCTGCCGTCGACGAACGTGCGGAGCGGCAACAAGGTCCTCCGGAAGAAGTTGAAGGGCCCGCTCCTCGCGGACTACTACTTCGACCAGAGCGGCGTCGACATCGACGTCGTCGGCCGCGAGATCCTCTCGGGCTGGATGAACGACCGCGAGGCGCGCCGCAAGAACCAGCTCGAGATCCTGCGACGACGAGGCAAGGGCCCGCCGAAGAAGGGCATGGGCAAGCGGTCGGGGAAAAAGTAGCGCGCGGGACTCCGCGGGGTGCGCGTCGCGTTAATCACCGACGTCGCCTTCGAAATAACAGCTCGCCGATGCGTGGGAGACGTCCTAAAAAACGGCACCATTGGTTCAACAACTCGACTTGCAGCTCCCTCGCCACCGACCGATGGACCTGCCGCCCGGCCTCGCGTCGTCCTCCGGCCCGCCGGGCCTGCACTGCCCGCCGGCCAAGAAGGCGCGCACGGACGGCCTGCCTTCGTGGCGGTGCCCCTACCTCGACACGATCAACCGCCACCTCCTCGACTTCGACTTCGAGAAGGTCTGCTCCCAGTCGCTGACGAACCAGAACGTCTACAGCTGCCTCGTCTGCGGCAAGTTCTTCCAGGGCCGCGGGCGCCACACGCACGCCTACACGCACAGTACGCAGACGGGCCACCACATGTTCATCAACCTCGAGACGTGCCGCATCTACTGTCTGCCCGAGAACTACGAGGTCGTCGACAGCTCGCTCGACGACGTCGTGCGGTGCCTGCGCCCCGTCTTCGGGCCCGAGCGCATCGGCGCGCTCGACGGCACGACGACGCTGGCCCGCGACGTCCACGGCGTCGCCTACCTGCCGGGCTTCTGCGGCCTGAACAACCTGAAGAAGACGGACTACGTCAACGTCGTCGTGCACGCGCTCGCGCACGTCGCGCCGCTGCGCGACTTCTTCCTGCGGCCGGAGAACTACGCGCACTGCCCGGCGCCCCTCGTGCACAAGTTCGGCGAGCTGCTGCGCAAGCTCTGGAGCCGGGACAACTTCAAGTCGGTCATCTCGCCGCACGAGCTCGTGCAGGAGATCACCGTCGCGTCGAAGCTGCGCTTCCAGATCGGCGAGACGTCCGACGCCGCGGATTTCCTGGTGTGGTTCCTCAACGAGCTCCACCGGAGCTTGGGGGGCACGCGGAAGCGCGGGTCGTCGGTGATCCACGACGCGTTCCAGGGCGACGTCCGCGTCGAGACGCTGAGCCGGCGCACGCACCTGACGAAGCGCGACGAGGCCGACGTCGACGACACGGCCGTGTCCGCCGAGGCCCAGGGCTGGAAGCGCGACGAGCGCGACCTGCCGTTCCTCTACCTGACGCTGGACGTCCCCGCGACGCCGCTCTTCAAGGACACGCAGGGCGGCAACATCGTGCCCCAGATCCCCCTCTTCGACGTGCTCACGAAATACAACGGCGTCAAGCTTTCGGATTCTGTCAAGTCGGGCGTGCAGTCGCGCAAGCGCTACGTCATCCGCCGCCTGCCCAAGTACCTCATCTTCCACTTCGCGCGCTTCACGAAGAACAACTTCGCCGACTCGGAGAAGAACCCGACCATCGTCCACATCCCCGTCAAGGATTTGGAGCTCAGGGACCAGTTCGCCCTCGAGGGCGAGGCCGCGGCCGAGGGCGCCAAGACCAAGTACGACCTCTGCGCGAACGCGTGCCACGACCTGCCCATGGGCCTCAACAAGGACCAGCGCGCGGACCCGCTCCAGCACGGCACCTACCGCGTCCACGTCCGCCAGGCCACGTCGGACCAGTGGTACGAGATCCAGGACCTCCACGTGTCCGAGACCATGCCCCAGCTCATCGGCCTGTCCGAGTCCCTCCTCTGCATCTACCAGCGCCGGGACTAACTAGGCGCCGCCGCAGGGGGGCGCGTCGCGGTCGACGAGGGCGTTGAGGAGCGCGTAGTGGCGGAGCTGGAGCCGCGCGGTGTCCACGAGGCACGCGCGCCAGGGCGGCTCCGCGCGCGGCCGCCGCGCGCCGGACGCCGCCGCCCAGGCGTTGTCGCCGTCGCGCGCGAGCGACCGCAGGAGCGAGTCGTCGGCGCCGCAGGCGAGGGGGAGATCCGCCGCCACCCTCGCCGCCGCGGCCCAGCTCGGCCGCCACGCGCCCCGCTCCTCGCGGCAGCCCGCCGCGGCGAGGCGCGAGAGGTAGACCGCGCGCGCGAGGCGCCGCGCGTCGACGGCCGCGGCGCTCGGCGACACGTTCGCGCGGTCGACGCGCGCGGCCTTGGCCCGGACCCGCGCGCGGCACGCGCGGAGCGGCGCGCCGCGGAGGCGCCGCGCCGCGCGGCAGATCAAGTACTCGGGCACGGACGAGTTCTTCTCGGCGAGCGCGTCGTAGGACACGCTCTCGAGCGACGCGCCGGGCCAATTCCGGACGACGGTGCCGAGGAGGGCCGTGAGCCGCGCGCCGACGCGCGCCCAGGCGCCCGTGTCCGCCAGAAATTCGCCGAAGGACCGGTCCGCGGCGACCGTCGCCCACATCGCGCGCGCCCACGACGCGAGGCCGCGGTGCACATGTAAAAGGACGACGCTCTTCACGCCGCCGCCGAGCGCCTCGCGGAGCGCGCGCCACTGCGGCGGCGCCAGGCGGCCGAGGCCCTCGGCCGAGAGCACCATGGGCGTCGCGGGCCGCTCGGCCGCGCCGCGGCGGATCTCCGCGACGACGGCGTCGAACGCGCGCCGGTCGTCGTAGCGGACGGACGGGCCGCTCGTGGCGTTCAGCAGCACCGCCGGCAGCACGGCGGCCTCCTTCTCGTGGGCACAGGCGACGCAGGCGACGCCCAGGTCGTCGACGCCGTTGACGAGGAAGCGCTGCGCGAAGGTCGTGCCCGTCTTGTGGCTGCCGACGTGGAGCACGAGCCGCGGGAGCGCCGCGCGCTGCGCACGGCACGCGACGACGAGCAGCCAGCTTCCGAGGCTTCCCATCGTGTCGGCGGGGCTGCCGCGCGCGGAATGAACGACCTCAATATCCTTGGTGATTGAACGCCAACCGGCAAGCGAGCAAACGATTTCAGCTGTTAACGATCGAGGGCTGCCCCGTCGACCGGTAGCGCGCGGCCATGTACTACGACAACCCCGGCGGGCGGCCGCAGTCGGCGCACATGACGCGCACGGGCTCGCGCACGGGCTTCGGCCAGCGCGAGTCCATCGGGAACCCGCTGAACCTGTCGCTGGGCCGCATCCGGCCCATGAGCGCGAGCACGAGCCGCACGTCCTTCGTGCCCGGCGCGTCGGCGAAGAGCGACCACAGCGCGCCGCCGCCGCCCATGTACGCCAAGGAGGAGCCCCAGGTGCAGAGCGGCTACTTCGTGCCCGCGCGCGAGGCCGGCGCGAGCCTCCGGTTCTTCGCGTACTTCGAGGAGCCCATCCTGCAGTACAACTCGCGGTCCGTGCCCTACCACACGAACCGCATCCACAAGTGCATCATCACCTTCCACCCCAAGGACGCCACCGTGGGCGTCGACGAGCCCAAGGTCCGCAACAGCGGCTACATGCAGGGCAAGCTGCTCAAGCGGTCGCACGTCAAGCACCCGGACGGCCGCAAGTTCACGCCCGGCGACTTCGTCATCGGCGAGGAGGTGACCATCTTCGGCCGCACCTTCACCATCGTCGACGCCGACCTGGGCACGCGCCGCGTCTACGAGCGCGCGTACGGCGAAGCGCTCGGCCCCGCGCTCGACATGCCCGACGACGGCTTCGCCGCGGAGCGCGCGCGGTCCGAGATCAAGTACAAGCAGGCGGGCCAGGACATCGAGCGGCCGACGTCGGCGCCGGCCATGCGGAGCCAGCGGAGCGCGACCGTCGCCGGCCACGAGGTGCTCCGCTTCTTCTGCGCGTACCAGGACGACCGCCGCGACGGCGACCGCGACCGCCGCTACACGATGCACTACTTCTGCACGGACGACACCATCGAGATCAAGGAGGTGGCCACGGAGGGCGTCCAGCGCTTCCCCAATTTGCTGCGCCGGTCGCGGCTCCCGAAGGAGGCGTTCTGGAACCCGGACAACCCGCTCGTCGACAACAACGAGCCGCGGCAGGTGAACTGGAAGGATTTGAAGTGCGGCGGGTCGCTGTTGGTCTGGGGGCGGCCGCTCCTCATGCTCTCCTGCGACCGGTCCACGGAGGCCTGGTACCAGAAGCGCGGCATCACGCAGGAGCCGTTGCAGATCGCGCCGGACGACGGCGACAAGTTCCCGCAGACGCTGCCGCCCTTCAACGGCTACGGCGCGGAGAACGACCTCTACGCCATGGGCCTGTCGCTCCAGCCGCGCGTCATCAAGTCGACGCAGCAGGACTACCAGCGCTTCATCAAGGCGGACAACAAAGTTCTACGCTTCGAGTGCGTCTTCGGGCACCGCGGCGTGTCCGAGCTCGACAAGAAGCGGTCCTTCGTCGTCAACTACCACCTGGGCGACGACACGATCATGGTCTACGAGCCGCCCGTGCGCAACAGCGGCCTCGAGGGCGGCGTCTTCCTCAGCCGCGGCCGCTACAAGAAGCACATCCCGGACCAGCGGTCCATCGGCAAGAAGGGCGCGGGCTCCGTGCTCTCGCGCTGGCTCCGGCCCGCCGACTTCTTCGACGGCAACATCGTCTCCTTCGAGGCGCCGGCGACGGGGCGGCTGCTCCAGACGTTCCGCGTCGTCCGCGCGGACGACTACACGAAGCGCGTCGAGGAGGAGAAGAAGCTCGCCGCGGGGTCCAAGCACGCCATCATCCTCGAGCAGCTCGCGGAGAAGCTCTGCGCCGCGCGCATCCAGGTGCGGAGTACCTTCGCGGACCGCGACGCCGCGAAGACGCGGACGCTGCCCGAGGCCGACTTCAAGAAGGCCGTCGAGGACATGGAGCAGCAGTCCCTCGCGCTCACGCGGGGGTCCAAGACCGTCGACGACGACGTCTTAGGCCAGCTCTGCTGGGCCTACGGCGAGCCGGGGCCCGGCGGCGACGTCGTCGTCCGCTACGACGACTTCGTCGACGCCTTGGTGCTCGCGGCGCCCATGCCCAAGGTCCCGGAGCGCACGGCGTCGTCGACGACGACCGTGACGTCGCGGGCGCTGGAGAAGGAGCTCGTGACGGCCCTGCGGCTCCAGATCGGCGAGGCGAACGCGGGCAACGGCCTGCTCCGCGCGTCGTTCCGCGCGGAGGACCGCGACGGCCACGGCACGGTGGACGGCGACGCCTGGTTCCGCGTGCTGCGCAAGCACAAGCTCCACGGCGTGCTGAGCCGCGCCGAGGCGAACACGCTCAAGCAGCGCTACACGGAGCCGTCCATGCTCCACGCGGGCGTCGAGTACGAGCGGCTCTGCGACAAGGTCTACGAGGGCGACTTCTCCGACTACATGGCGGCTTTACTCATGATCCTGCCGGAGCGCGGCGACATCGGCGCCGTCGACCTCGACAAGTACCGCGAGCACCTCACGGGCGGCAACAAGATCCCGACCGTGCGCAACTACCTCGACAAGGTCAACGTGACCATGCGCGACTGCGACGGCGACGTCCAGAAGAAGCTCAAGAACTGCCTCCGGGCCTTTTCCTCCGCCTTCGGCCGCAACCACCGCAAGAAGATGCTCCGCAAGCACCTCATGGCCTTCGACGTGTCCAACACGGGCACGTGCCACCGCGACGAGTTCGTCGGCTCCGTGAAGCGCATCATCGACGACGGCTACTGCGAGCTCGACACGCGCGAGCAGACGCTGCTATTCCAGCACATCTTCCCCCACCCCTGGACGCGACAACCGACGGACACGCTCCTGACGATGCTCGTGTCGCGCGACGTCAAGGGCGTCATGCGCATGCACCAGGCCGCCATGAAGCAGGAGGAGGACCCCCGCTTCCTCTTCCGATGAGCGCGGCGACACCGTTCCTCCGGAGCACTCGCGCAGCCCACCGACCGACGTCCGAGTCTCGACACCCCCGTCCCCCCCCCGGACCGCGCGCGACCCCCGCCCCCCCTCGCCGCCGTCTAGATCTCTCTTTTTCAGCGCGTCGTCGGTCTTCCAAGGGTACCACGTCGTCTCCTTACGCTCGCCGCGGGGCCTCGTCGGCGCGGCGACTCTGACAACGCATCGTCGGGCTTGGGTGCAACGACGCCTCCTTACGCTCGCCGCGGGGCCTAGTCGGCGCGGCTCCGGCTTTCGGAGCGCGCGCGTCACGCGGCCCGGCGGGTCTTCGAGCGGCGGAGGCGGCGTTTTTTTTTCGGAGGGCTACGCGGATCAGCTCGTCGTCTTGAGCAGGCCGCCGCAGTCGTTGGAAGAAAAGACCTTGCGCTCCAGCTCGAGCCAGTTCGCGCGGCCCATGCACTGCTCGTCCATCGTCTCCCAGGACGCCTTCGCGTCCTTGTTCCCCGGCGGGAGCTCCGACAGCTGGCGCAGCACCTCGACGTAGTGGTCCATGCTCTGGGAGCCCCGGATCTCCATGTGGGCGCCCTCGGAGCTGAAGAGCGTCACGGGCACGGCGTCGTAGCCCCAGCCGTAGTGCACGCGGAGCGCCTGCTGCCGCGCGCCGTCCTCGTCGCGGCCGCTGTCGAGGTAGCGCGCCGCGCGCCGCGCGTCGATGCCCGCCTCGGCGCAGCAGCGCGCGAGCAGCGCGCGGTCGCTCAGCTCGCCGCGCTCCGCGAAGTGGGCCTTGGCGATGGCCTCCGCGAGGCGCTCGCGCGCCGCGGGGCCGCCCTTGGCGACGCGCGCGGCCTCGGGCGACCCGGCCCAGCCCAGGAGCCGCTGGGCGTCGAGGGAGCTCGTCATGCGCACGTCGTAGTCGAAGCTCATGGGCGCGAGGCCGTCGGGGAGCACGTTGAGGCCCTTTTTGAAGCGCGCGATGCCCGCGTCGACGTCCGCCTTTGTGGCGTGGTCCTGGAGCTTGTTGCCGGAGCTCGTCGTGAGGGAGAGCTCGCCCGCCGCGCAGGCCGACGCGCAGGGCGTCTTGCTCGCCGCGTGGCGCCGGAGCATGTCGGACCAGAGCTCGCCGGTCGGCGCGTTCCCGAGGTCCGGGCGGATGAAGTAGGGCGTGCGCACGAGCGAGATCTTCAGGTTCTCCGGCGCCGTCGCGATGGCCGCGCTCACCATGCGGAGCGACGGCCAGAAGTGGGCTCCTACAAGTGTACCAAGCGTGACGATTGCTCGAACACACAGGACGCTGCGCACGACAGTTCGGGTCCGCGATGACGTTCATGCGCACGAGCCGCCTCCGCCGCTTCGGCGGCGCGAGGTTCTCCTTGCCGGGGACCGCGAGCGCCGCCGTCGGGTGCTCCTGGAGGATCTTGCGCGACCGCAGGACGAGCTCGGCGCCGTGGGCCAGGACCTCGCCGACGATGCCGTCGCCGTCGAGCCTGGTGCCGCCGCGGTAGAGCTGGACGCCGTCGTCGAAGGGGACACCGTGGCGCGCCTTGTAGGTCTTTTCTACGATTTTCAGCAGGTGCCCGAGCTTCTTTTTTTGCGTCTTCTCCGGGAGCGTCATCTTCAGCTCCATGGGCGGCTCTCCGACGTATTTCAGCACGACCTCCATCGTCCCGAAGGACGGGACGATGGTGGGCTGCTTCCTCGGACAAAAGATGAAGGTGCTTGAAGCGTGTCAGAGCGCTTCAAGGTGCGCACCGAGGAAGACTCGAGCCGCGGGTCTCTTCTGAACACGCATGTCTGTCGCGTCTTCGGAGCCGGAGCTGCCGATTCGTCGGAGTTGATCTGCAATGAGCCGTTGGTGATCTGTGGCTGAAAAAGGCTGTTTGATACTGCGGTCGGAGGTTCACTGGACGCGGACACTTGCACATTTGTTGAGGAAAAAGAGCACAAGCTCAGAGCGCATCTTGGAACCCCACGAGCAACGACGCCGGCCAGTGCCAGTTTTCGCGACACACGCCACCGCCGCAGCACGCCGGAGCCTCACCGGCGTTGCCAGGGGTGCCCGTTCCGTGCGCCGTCCCGCACGCCGTAAAGATCTCCAAGCGTTTCGGCGCGGGCACGCTCTCATGATTCGCCAACCGCATCGCCACTTAGATTCCGGCCGGGACCTCATGCGCGCGCGGCGCCTCGACGACCGGAGCATGTGCTCCTCGCCGCCCATCCACATCCCGCGCGCGGACCCGAACGGCTGGGACGACGAGGGCGAGGCCCGGCCCGATTCCGTCGCCGAGTACCGCGCGCATCTTTTCTGGCTCCGCATGGCCAACTCGGGCCACCACGTCGCGCCGCCCGAGGAGGAGGCGCTCGACCTCTGGCGGCACCGCCGGCGCTCGCGGAGTTCGCACCTCTGCACGAGCTTCGGCGGCCGCGCGGCCGCCGCGCCGTCGGAAGACATTTTCTCGATGGATTCGTAGAGCGCCGCGCCGCGGCCTCATGTGTGTAGCTTCCGCATCCGCCCCAACACGGGGCCCGTGCCGTTACCTCGGTCTTTTCCTCCCTGTCCATCCCGCCCGCGCCGAGCGCGCCGCGGCCCGACCTTCGGGACCGCCGGAGCCGCGCTCGCGCCGCCCTGTCCACATCGTAACTCTGTCTAGTTTCTGCTCATCATGCAAGTGCCACTGCCGGCGCGACATCCTGCAAGAAAGGTAGTCTGCTAGTTAGGCCTCGAGGACGGCCTCGGAGGCGCCCTTGTTCAGGTTCGCGTTGCTCCCCGGCGCGGAGTCGAGGTTCGCCTTGCTCCCCGGCTGGGAGCCGTTGTTGAGGGACCCGCGGGACGCGTCGCCGCCGGCCTTGCGCACGAAGGCGTAGGAGCCGCTGTTCTCGCCGACGTGGGCCGACTTGCCGCCGGACGTGCGCGTCCGCGGCTGCGCGACGGACCACGCGGTCGTGTTGACGCTGAGGTCGTCGTCGGCCGCGTCGCCGGAGGGCGCGGGCGCGGGCGCGTTGTCGTCGTCGCCGGCGTCGTCGTCGCCGTCCGCGGGGTCGAAGCCGTGGTCGCGCATGTAGTCCCCGTAGTCCTTGAACGACTCCGCCGCGAAGCCCGTGCTCCCGATCTTGGGCGTGCTCTTGAACGCCTTCGAGTTCGACGGCGTCAACAACATGGCCGGGCTCTTGCGCGCCGGCAGCGCGTCGACGCCCCGGGGCTCCAGGTTCTCCGCGCCCATGTGCACGGACAGGCTCGCGGACGACTGGCCGGGCGCGACGCGGCGGTCCGACTTCCCCGAGGGGCGCGCCGCGCCCGCGAAGAGGTGGCGCAGGCGCCCCGCCGCCGTGGCCTCGCCGTTGTTCCCGAGCTTGACGCCGTCGGTCTCGTGCTCCGCCGGGGGCGACGACGCGGGCAGCGCCTGCTTCCGCCACTCCTCGACGTCCTTGCGGTGCGCGTCGAGGCGGAAGAACGTGTGCGCGTTCAGCTTCAGGAGCACGTACGCCGCCAGCGCGGCGCAGGCCGCGTTGGCGATGTGGACGACGCGGTGCGTGCCGCCGACGACCGGCAGCGTGACGGCGTACTTCGGCAGCGCGCGATATAGGATGAAGATCGCCGCGTTCGACAGGGTCACGCCGAACTGGCAGAAGAAGCAGACGTCGAGGTAAAAGTCGCAGAGCGTGCGGTAGGGCACCTTGGGCATGTAGTCCGTGATGGTGAACTTCGTCGCGACGTTCGTGAGCATGAGCGCGACGGCCGTCTCCATGCGGCCCGCGATGTCGTCGACGCCGAACGCGAAGCAGCAGAGCGAGCAGACGGCGATGAGCAGGATGGGCAGCATGATCATGCGGATGTGCCAGTCGGACTCGCGCTCCACGAGCACGATGATGTGCAGGCTCGAGTAGACCTTGCCCGTCGTCGAGTGCTCGGGGTTCGTCGCGTACATGGCCGTGCAGCTCCCGATGACGCGCCACTCGTGGCGCGCGTGGTGCTCGATGGCCATCTCGTCGACGAGGGGGTGGAGCTCGACCTCGTCGATGGTCTTCTTGTGGGGCTTGATGCAGATCCGCAGGTTCTGCACGTCGAAGGGGAAGAAGTGGAGCGACATGTTCGGGATCAATAATTTGCCGCGGTAGTACTCGCTCAGCTTGAGGAGCCCCGTCTTCGGGTCCTTGACCTGGAACTCCCAGTGCGTGAGGCTCAGCTCCGCCTCGTTCGAGATGATGAGCTCGGGCTGGAACAGGTCCGGCTCGTGGATGTCGACGACCGTGCCCTTGGGCCGGCCCTTGACGCGGTAGTCCGTCCAGTAGTAGAAGACCTTGAAATCGATGGTGAACGTGCAGTCGATGGAGTTGACGTTCCGGATGCCGTTGATCTTGTAGCCGACGCGGATGCGCTTCCCGCGCTTCACCCGCCGCGTCTCCTCGATGTGGTCCCGCACGGCGGCCTTGAGCCGCTGGCTCCCGCGCTCCGACGCGCGGGCCTCCGGCGACCCGAGCTTCGGCGACGGCTGGTCCTCGTCGGCGGCCTTGCTGTCCCACTGCGTCATCGTCGACCCGGCCCGACTGAAGGTCGGGCTGCACTTCTCGTGCGGCGTCGCCTCGAGCGTCGACAGCATCTCTTTTCGGGAGGCGCGGCCCTGTCCGCGGGCGCGCTGCCTCGGGACCACCGCCCGCAGCCCCCTGCGCACAAGCGGTCCCACCGGTCGATCAGCCCTCTCCGCAAAAACCTCGAAGCAAACTTCGGCCTTCCGCAATCTTCGACGAGCCGACGTTACACAGCCGCTGGCGGATCACTCGGCGGACCGGCCAGCGCCGTCGGCGACGGCGGCGCCGCGGATGTGCCGCTCCGGCTGCTCGAGGACGTTCGCAGGAACGCGTGGCAGAGGGCGCCGTGGGCCCACATGTCGGCGACCACGAAGGCCGCGCGGCCCCGGAGCGTCCGGCCGCGCGCGAGCGCGAGCACGCCCAGCGGCGCCAGGACGCCGCCGAAGACGACGAGCGCGACGATCTTTGCGACCTTGGCCCAGCGCCGGCCCGGCGGCGCCTGGGCCCCCGGCCGCGACGGCGACAGGAGCGCCGCGAGCGCCGTGAGCGCGTCCGTCCGCGTCCGCCAGAGCGCGTACTGCCACCAGAACAGGAAGCAGAGCAACACGACGACGGGAATCAGAAAAAAAACGAGCGCGCACCAGACCCAGCACGTCGAGCAGACGGCGAGCGCGCAGAGCGCGTAGTGGCGCTTGAGCGCCGCGCGGTACGCCGCCGTCTCGTCCCGCATGCCCGCGGACGACGCCAGGCGCACCGCGTCCTTGAGCGGGGCCGCGTAGAGGTTCTGCGCCAGCGCCAGCACGAGGATGTCCGCGAGGACGATGCACGACGCCGCGAGGGACCGCAGCTCGAGGCCCTTGCCCTCGACGTAGCGCCGCGCCTCCCGCGAGCGGAGCGGCGCCGCGAGGTAGCTCGACGTCCGGGAGCCCGACTCGCCGCCGCCGACGAAGACGAGGCGCCGGTAGTCGTGGCGGGCCAGCGCCGCCACGGACAGGGCGAACATGACGCCCACGGCGACGACGTTGACCGCGCCGGCCGCGCCGAGGCTCCGCCGCATCTTGCGATATAATAACCGCGCGCGGCCGTAGAGGAACGCGCCGAACCAGGACTTCGAGAGGAGGTGCACGACGACGAACGCGCGGTCGTCGAGCAGCGCGAGCACCGCCGCGACGAGGGCGAGCAGCACGAGCACGGGCGCCGCCGAGAAGACGAGCCAGCGCGTGGGCTGCACGCGCTTGCACATCTCGCCGGCGAGGTGGCGCGTCTTCCGCTCCACGCGCGCCGCGTGGACCTCGATGGCCGTGATGCTGTCGCGCCACGGGGGCTGCTCGCGATCCGCCATGGGTTTTGCTTCTATCTGGGCGCCATCGTGGGCTGGATTCCTCCTTGAAGCGATGATGCCGCTCGACAGCATGGCTCCCTAGCTGGACGAACTAAGGCGCGTCGCTCCAGCTCGCCGCCGCAATGCAACTTTTGAGCGTCCTGGGCTCCTAGCTGGACGACGCGCCGCTCCAGCTCGCCGCCGCGATGCAACTTTTGAGCGTCCTGGGCACGGCGGCCGGCGCCGTGGCCCAGGTCATCCTCATCGCCTTCGTGGGCGTCGTCGCCGCCTTCTTCCCGCGGGAGCAGCCGCTCCTCACACCGGAGGCGCTGCGCCCCATCAGCCGCATCGCCAACGACATCTTCCTGCCGTTCCTGTCGGCGGCGGTGCTCGGCGCGCGCATCAACGGCGCCGCGCTGCGCCAGGACTGGGTCCTGCTGCCCGCGGGCCTGTGCGTGACCGTGCTCGGCTACGCCGTCGCCGATTTGACCGCGCTGCTGGCGCGGCCGAGCCCGGCGCTGCTGCCGGCGCTGCGCGTCGCCGTCGCGCACCCGAACGCCTTCGCGCTCCCGCTCCTGCTCCTGCGCTACCTCTGCGAGCGGCCCGTGGTGAACGCGGAGTTCGGCGGCGACGACGAGGAGTGCCTCGAGCGGGGCGCGGCGAAGCTCTGCGTCTTCCTGACGGCGTGGCACGTCATCTTCTGGACCTACGCGTATAGCACGCTCGAGCGCATCGACGGCGGCGCCGGCCGCGAGGCGTCGGCGAGGCTGTGGCTGCGGCGCGTGCTGCTCCAGCCGAACATGATCGGCGTCGACCAGCGTCCCTCGCCTGGAAACGCAAAGAAAGCGGACCCTGTCGCACTCGGTAGGCGTCTACGCGGGCGTGCTCGTCGGCGTGTCGCCGCTGCGGCGGCTGTTGTTTTTCGGCGCGACGCCGCTGCGGCCCCTGGGCCTCGCGGTGGAGACGCTGGGCGAGCCCGTGGTGGCGACGACGGTCCTCATCATGGCCGCGGCGCTCGCGAACGGCGAGAAGCGGCGGCGCCGGGCGAAGGACGCGGCGGAGCCGGAGGGCGGCGCGGCGCGCGCGGCGCTCTGGTTCGTCGTCGTGAAGCTGGTCGTCATCCCGGCCATCGGCTACCCGCTCGTGTCGCTGCTGCCGCGGCTCCCCGGCGGCGAGCTCACGAAGCTCGTGCTGCTCCTGGAGCTCGCCATGCCCGGGGCGCAGACCGTCCTCGTGACCCTGAACGCGCTCGGCCAGGGCCACGTCGCCGAGGCCATCGCGCCGGCCTACCTGGCGCAGTACCTCTCCGCCGTGCTCACGCTCACGGCGTTCACGGCCTGGGCGCTCCTCATCACGTACCGATAACGCGCTTATCATTCCGCGGTTCTTCGCTCGAGGCGCCAGAGGGAGATGGACGGCGAATCGTAGAGCGGGTGGACGTCGTCCGCGAGCTCCGTGACCTCGAAGGTCTCGCGGAGGGCGTGCCAGAGCGCCGCGTCGAGGGCCTCGTGGCGCCGCTTGTGGCAGACGAGCGCCTCGCGTCGCACCGTCGCCGCGAGCGTCCGCGCGAACGGGCCGACGGCGTCCGCGTGGTAGACGCAGTCCGCCGCGAGCACGAGGTCGGCGGCGCCCGCGAGGTCCGCGGGCGCGGGCTCGCGCCAGTCGAGGGCCGCCGCGCGCGCGGATCCGCCCGCGGCGGCGACCGAGGCCGCGTGGAGCCGGACGCGCGCGGCGGTCCGCGGCACGACGGCCGCCTCGTCGGTCAAAACGACGTCCGCGCCCAGGAGCGCCGCGGCGAGGCCCGCGACGCCCAAGCCGCTGCCGAGCTCGACCACGGACCGGCCCCGGACGTCGCCGCGCCCCGTCGCCGCGCGCCACTCGAGCGCCATGGCGAGCACGACGCCGCACTCCCAGACGGCGACGCAGGGGCCGGCGCCGGCGCGCGCCGCGAGCGGGCCCGGCGCGAGGTCGAGGCGCGCCTCCATGGCCCCGTCGTCGCACCGGCCGCAGCCGGCCTCGTCCTCCGCCGCGACGGTCACGAGCGGAAACCCGCCGACGAGGAGCGCGCGCTCGCCCGGCGGCGCGGTTTCGCTCTCCGCGGCGAGCCGCCGCGCCTCCGCCAAATCCTGCGCCGCCGCGAGGAAGTCGCCCTCGGCGTCGAAGCCCGCCGCGAGCGCGGCCTCGAGCGCCGCCGCGGCCTCGCGCCAGCGCCGCGCCGCGAGCAGGCACCGGCCGAGCGTGAGGCTCGCGGGCGCCCAGCCCGGCGCGAGCGCCGCCGCGCGGCGCGCGGCGACGACGGCGCGCGCGACGGGCCGCTCGTCGCCGCCGTCGAGCAGCAGCAGCACCTGGGCCGCCGCGTCGAAGGCCTTGTAGTCCCCGGCGTCGGCGGCCGTGGCCGCGGTGAAGGCGGCGAGCGCCTCCTCGAAGCGGCCGGCCTCGGCGTGCGCGTTGCCGGCGTCGCGGAGCGCGTGCGACGACGACCGCTCGAGCGCCGCGGCCATCGGGCGCTGCCACAGTCGGGCGCTCGCCAACCGGATCCTGTGATCCTGTGCCTGCAGGGCGCCGCCTTCTCCTTCGCGCCCGCCAACGAGAGCCGACCCGCCCCCCCGCCGCGCCGTAACCGTCGCACCAAGACCCTACGAGTCCGTCCCGTCTCGTCAAGCAAGTCCCGCGGCGAAAAAAAAACGACCGCGGCGGCGACGAACATGGCCGAGAAGAGTCGCTCGAGGTGGACGGAGTCGTTCACGGACAAAGACGAGCTCCACGAGCAGCAGACCATGTCCCGGGACGGCTCGTTGGGCGACGGCGAGTCCTTCGAGACCGAGGAGAAAACCGGCCCGACGCCCCGGACCATGAGCCGCTTCACCGCGACGCTCCGGTCCTGCGGCCGCAAGGCGTGGGACCCGTCGGGCTTCGGGTCCGTGCGCAAGGCCCCCGTGTCGACGAACTACGACGTCGGCAAGAAGATCGGCTCCGGCGCGTTCGCGTCCGTCTACATCGCCACCGCAAAAAAGGACCGCGCGCTCGCGCCGTGCCCCGACGAGTACCTGCTCCAGGACACGGTCGCCGTGAAGATGGTCGACGTGTCGACGCTCGACGCCGCGGGCCTCGAGGCCATGGAGCTCGAGGTGCGGACCATGCGGCGCGTCGCGGGCCACGAGAACATCGCGGCCCTCTACGAGATCTACATCTTCGACAAGACGCTCGCGCTCGTCATGGAGCTCTGCGCCGGCGGCGAGCTCTTCGACCGCATCATCTCCAAGGACCACTACAGCGAGCGCGAGGCGCGCCTCGCCTTCGCGCAGATGGTCGAGGCCATCGGCCACTGCCACGCGCGCGAGGTCGTGCACCGCGACCTCAAGCCCGAGAATTTGTTGTACGCGGACGTCGAGGGCGCGCCGAACGGGTCCGTCGTCAAGCTCGCGGACTTCGGGCTCGCGCGCACGCTCGAGCCCGGCCGCCACCTCAGCGGCTTCTCGGGCACGCCGGGCTACGTCGCGCCCGAGATCCTCACGTCGACGCGGTCCTACGGCAAGGAGTGCGACCTCTGGTCGCTCGGCGTCGTGTTGTACATCATCCTCTGCGGCTACCCGCCCTTCTACCACGACCACGGCGACCCGCGCGTCGTCTTCGCGCAGATCAAGAAGTGCCAGTTCCAGTTCCAGCGGCCCTACTGGGACGACATCACCAAGGAGGCCAAGGACCTCGTGAGTAAGCTCCTCACGAAGGACCCGGCGAAGCGGCTCACGGCCGACGGCGTCTTCAAGCACGACTGGGTCCGGCTCTCGCCCGTGACGAATTTGCACCTGCCCTACTTCGCGACGAACGTGAAGAAGTACCGCCTCCGCCGCAAGTTCAAGGCCGCGGTGCTCTCCGTCGCCGCGGAGATGCGCTTCGCGAGCTTCGCGCGCAAGGGCGCCTTCGCGGGCCACTCGACGGCCGAGGCGGCCCTCGGCGTCGCGGGCCGCATCGACAAGCTCGCGAGCCGCAAGTCGCTCTCCGTCGCCGAGGCGAAGCAGCTCCGGGAGCTCATGATCGCGCGGACGACGAGCTCCGTGGAGCAGATGGATCTCGCCGGCGCGCCCGAGCTGCCCGAGGGCGACGGCGTCGCGGAGGCGTGAGTAAGGGGGTTACGCCTAGCTCGCGGGCCGGGGTCGCTTCGCCGAGTTGGCCTTGGCTGTCTCGACGATGTCGGCGAAGGAGCGCCGGGCGGTCGTCGCGGGAGGCGCGGCGAGCGGCGGCGGCGGGGGCGGCGTGGATATCCACGCCGGCACGGGCGGCGGCGGCGCCGAGGCCGGCGCGGGTGCCGGCGCGGGTGCCGGCGCGGGCGGCGGCGCGGGCGGCGGCGCGGGCGGCTTAGGATTCGGCATGCGGAGGAACCGCCACGCGCACGGTGGCATTCGGTCACGAGCCGAAGAGAGTACGCTCATAGCGCGATTGATTGGAACGGGTCGACCGAGCGGGCTCACGAGCCAGCAGAGCGTGGCTACCCCCTCATCGGTCAGGTCCGAGCCGGATCCCGAGATGGACTCGACGATGACCACCGGTGAAACGTCGCAGCACGTGCGTCCGCGCCTGTGCACGTGCGCCTCGTCCACGAGCTCGACGTCGCCAAGGCTCGAGTCGTGGCCGACCTTGAGGAAACCATGGATCTCGATGATGCGCTCCGCCGGCATGGCCTCGAGGGCCGCGCGGACGCGGCCCGGCAACGCGCGCAGGTACTGCGCGAACGTCGGAATCTCTTCCTCGTCTGCGTCCGTCTCGACGACATTTTCCACGGTCCAACCTCCGAAGCCGGGGAAAGCGAACTCCTTCGGCTCTCCAGTGAATACATAGCCGAGGTTATGATCCCAGGATCGCTCCGTGTGATAAAGGGCCTTGGTTGGAAAATTCATGTGCCAGTCGAGCCGCGCGTCTTCGAATAGCGGGCTCTCGCGACGAGAAGGATCATACGAATCGGGCAGCTCCTCGCGGAACCTCTCCTCCTCGCCGTATCCGTCGTAATCGCCGCGTATGCTGCCCCATCCGTCGCTATCGCTCCGCACGACGCGCTCGTAGTAGTTGTACAGGACATATTTGGCGAGGGCCGGCACACACACACGCTCGGTGTAGCTCACGATCTCGTTCACGCTCGTGCGCACTTTGCCGCCGAGGACGGCGTCGCCGATGATGGCAGAGATCAGGTGCGAAGTGCTCGCGATCGTGGCGCGTCGCCGGTTTTGTCGAAGTTTTGGCGCCTTGCTCGCCAGTGGTAAAATTTTAATGGCAAAACGTTCCAAGTTGGAGGACACGATGAGCTACGTCAACAAAGTCACCACACAGCTCCGGTCCTCCTCCTCGCAGGCGCTCTGGCTCCTCTTGCTCTGGTGCATGAGCACGCGCGTCGACTACTGGGCGCAGACCCTGTACGTGTCGGCGTCCCGGATCTTCCTCGCGGACTTCGACACGGCCGTCACGAGCGCGGCGAGCGACGCCTTCGGCGAGGCCGGGCCTTTGATCTTGGCCGACGATCTTGCGCGGAAGCGGCTCCGCATGCCGATCCGCCACGGTGGCGGCGGGCTGCGCCTCCGCGTCGGCGTCGCCGCCGCCGCGTTCTTCGGCGCGGGCTGCGCCGTGCTGCCGACCATGGTCGACCGCCTCGTCGGCGGGTTGACGGTGGCCGGCTTTATGACCCAGCTCGAGCCGGAGTTGGGTCAAGGGTCCTTCGACGAGGGGGCCTCGGGCCAGTTCGCGGGCCTCGAGGCCGCCGCGGGCTCCGGGTGCTCCACCGCCGTCGAGATGCTCGCGGCCTGGGACTCCATGGTCGCCGCCGTGGCCGAGGAGGAGGACCACGAGGGCCTCCTCGCGAAGCCCTTCGCCGACGCGGGCGTCGGCGACGGCGGCGTGCGCGTCCCCAAGATGCAGCACCGCCTGACGGCAGAGCTCGACAAGGTGGCGTTCGCGGCCTACAAGGCCGAGCTCGCGGACCTCGCGATCGACGGTTTCCCCTACTGCGCCGCCGAGGCGGCGCGGGACCAGGCCGCGAGGGCCTGGCTCACGACGCTCCCGGTGGGCTGCGCGGCCTTCACGAACGGCGAGTTCGCCGAGGTCGCCGCGACCTACTTCGGCGTCAAGAGCCCGTGCATGATCCCCCACGTCGCGAGGCGCATCCAGAACACGTCGAGCGTCGTCGACGCCTTCGGCCACGTCTTCTTCACCGACGTCAGGATCCTGAACCGCAAGAGCGTGCGGACGGCCTGGCACGACAGCGTCGCGACCGTCATCGAGGGCTCGCTCCGCGAGGCGCGCGTGTCCTACGACCGGGAGGTCCTCGGCGTCTTCGCGGACCTGGTGCCCGCCGACGCGGCCACGTCCTTCTTCGAGCAGCACGCGGGCAAGGGGGCCCGGGATAAGGCCGGCATCGTCCCGGACTTCAAGCTCGTGCCGGGCGGCCGCGCCGCGCAGCTCGCCGACGTCAAGACCATCGGCTTCGCCAAGTCGCGCTACGGCCGGTCGCCCGCCCGCAGAGGCGGCACCTTGCCGTGCGACGAGCGCGCGGGCATCATCAACCGCGAGTACCGCCTGCACGCCGAGAAGCTCGACAAGAAGTTCTACCCGGACGAGGCTTCGCCGGGTCCCTTCGAGCGCCGCCTCGGATCCTTCGGCTCCGTCGTCGGCTTCGTGGCGGGCTACTTCGGCGAGCTGAGCAAGGGCGCCCACGAGGTCCTGGCCATGGCCGCCGAGGAGATCGCGGAGCGGACCTGGGTCGAGGCCGGCGCCACGAGCCTCGACCACGCGAAGTCGATCCAGAAGCAGCGGCTCTACCGCGAGTGGGGCGTCGCCTCCGTGCGCGCGGTCGCGCGGATCAAGATCGAAGGCCTCGGCCTCATCGGCGCCCCGTCGTCGATCCCGCGGCCCGACTACGGCCGGGACGCGGCCGCGAAGCGGGCCCGCGACGCGGCCTACGCCCGCGCGGCCCGCGGCACCGGCGGGACCTTCGGCGTCGCCTACGAGCAGTAGCCGCCCTACGTCGTCGTGCCCTCTTCGTCGCCGTGCTCGCGTACGCCTCCGCCCTAGTCGTGTCCTCCCGTGACGCTTCCCTACGCCCCCCTTCGCTGTTCTCTCCCCCTTCGGTCCTTCCCTGCGCCGCGGCTAAGCAAAACGTTCCTCTGGAGCCGTCGCCGAGGCATACGAGGCGCCATACGATGGTCTTAGACATGGCCTAGCGCCGCGCGTTGACCTGGTCGAAGAAGGCGCCGCGCTGCTCCATGAGTGAGTCGTAGGAGCCGCGCTCGACGACGCGGCCGCCGTCGAGGTAGAGGATCTGGTCCGCCGCGCGGAGGTCCTCCAGGTGGTGCGTGATGCAGAGCGTGGTCGACTCCGCGGAGAGCGCGTCGAGCGTCGCCTGGAGCGACTTGGCGACCGTGTTGTCGAGGCCCGTCGTCGGCTCGTCGAGGAGGAAGACTGAGCCGCTCTTGAGGATCGCGCGCGCGAGCGACACGCGCTGCTGCTGGCCGCCGCTGAGCTTCGCGCCCTTCTCGCCGCAGTCCTTGTCCAGCGTCAGGTCGCCGGCGTCGAGGACGAGCTCCGCGGCGCGCGCCGCGGCCAGGATCTCGTCGTCCGTCGCGCCGAGCTTGCCGTAGGCGATGTTGTCGCGGATGGACCCGTTGAAGATCTGCGCGTCCTGGGTGACGACGGAGAAGAGCGCGCGGAGCGAGTCGCCCGTGATGTCCCGGTGCACGTCCTTGCCGTCCACGAAGATGGATCCGGACGACGGGCGGTAGAACCGGAGCAGCAGCCGCAGGACCGTCGACTTGCCGCAGCCCGACGCGCCGACGAGGCCCACGGTCTGGCCGCGCTCGCACGCGAAGCTTACGTCGTCGAGGATCGCGCGCCCGCCGTAGGAGAAGCTCACGTTGCGGAACTCGATGGACGGCCGCGGCCGGCGCGCGATGGGTGCCGCGCCCGGCGCGTCCGCGACGTCCGAGAGCTTGGCGACGAACGCGTGGAACGTCTGGTACTCGAAGACGGCCGCGCGCAGGTTCGAGATGCCCACGGCGTAGGGGTCGAAGCCGCCGATGTAGATGAACAGGTAGAACATGAGCGCGACGCGCTCGACGGCCGTGCCGCGCACGTCCGCCGCGGAGACGAGCGCGAGGAAGCCGAGCGTCGTCGTCAGCGTGAGGAACGTCAGCGAGAGGCCCTCGCGGTGCTCGAGGCGCGAGAGCGCCGTGATGCGGTCGCCGATGCGCGCGAACGCGCCGCGCACCGTCGCGACCTCGTGGCCGACGTTGCCGAAGACGTGCGCGCGCTCGTAGGACTGCGCCGTCGCGAGGATCTTGCCCCACTCGGAGAGCATCGCCATCATCATGTTCTTGTTCCGCTCCGCCTTCTTGCCTACGGTGATTCTTCGGTCGAAGGCGCTCGAAACTCGCCGCGGGACGCCGGGACGAGCCCGCCGCGGCGTAGGCGACCTTGCTGTAGGCCAGGAAGAGGCCCAGGAGCACGGCGGCGATCCAGCCGTAGACGTAGGCGACGAAGCCGACGGCGCAGAGCGTCTCGACGGCCACGGGCAGGATCGCGCCGTACAACGCCGGCAACAGCGTGTCCAGGTTGCGGAAGACCTTGGCGATGAGCTGCACGAACTCGCCCGTCGGCGTCGAGAGCATGGCGTCGTGCGGCAGCTCGAAGAGCTTCGCGACGACGGCCGTCGCCTGCGTGATCTGGAGGCTCTCCTTGAGCGCGTCGACGGCCTCGGCGCTCGCGAAGGGCGCGAGGCGCCCGAGCACGTTGATCGCGCCGACGCAGCCCAGCGCGGCGTACTGCGCCGGCGACAGGTCGTCGAAGTCCGCGCGGCGCAGGAGCCGCGCGGCGACGAGCGGGCTCAGCGCCGTGGCGAGGCGCACGACCTGGAGCGCGCCGTATTTCGCGAGGAACGGGCCGTAGCCGGGCAGCGCGACGACCATGGCGTGGATGTCGCGGAGCAGGGGCAGGAACTCCTGGAAGAAGCGGAAGGGCGGCGGGGCCGGTGGGGCTGCGTCCTTGGCGTCCGCGGCCTTCGCATCCTTCGCGTCGGCGTCGCCGCCGCGCTCGGCCTTCTCGTCTTTCGCGTCGGCGTCGCCGCCGCGCTCGGCCGCGTCGAGCTTCACATCGTCGGCCTTCGCGTCCAGCAGCTTCACGTCGGCGTCCTTGTTCTCCGCGTCGGCGGTCATCCCCATCGCCGCTCTGGTGGAATGCGTCGGGCAGCTTCTCAGATCTGAGTGCACCTTTCAGATATTGAAGTCAACGCTGAACCAACATCGTACGGCATACATGTGTGAACCTACTCCCGAAGGCGCATCCGGACACCCCCTACAGGAGGAACACGTCGGCCTTGGGCGCCTGGCGGTAGATGGAGCGGAAGCAGTGGAGGATGACGTTCTCGGGCTTGAGGACGGGGTGGTCGCCGAGGGCGGCGGCGAGCTCGTGGGTGCGGAGGGGCTGGTCCGTCATGAAGAGGGACCGGGGCAGGGGGTGGTCCTGGATGGCCGTCGCGTCGGCGATGTTCTTGACGCCGATGGTGACGACCTCCTGCTTCTCGAGCTCTCCCGAGAGCGACTCGGACCGCGACCGGATGTAGCTCACGGCGGAGACGACCTCGTTGGGGTGGAGGTGGTTCACGAAGCTCACGTGGTGCATGGTCTGGAAGAGGACCTCGTGCAGCTCGCGGCCGCTGCACGCGTTCACGAGGCCGAGCGCGAGCGCGCCGGGCACGTAGAGCCGCTCGCGCTCGGGCTCGCCGGCGTACTTGGCCGGGTTGAAGTGGCGGTCGTGGACGACGCGCCCCAGCGCCGCCAGCTGCATCGTCTGCGTCATCGTGAGCATGCGCGCGCTTCCGTGCGTGAAGAGCTTGCCCGGGTCGAGCGGCCGCAGCGTCACGCCGCCGAGCTCCCCCAGCAGGTCCGCCGACTTGACGATCTGCTGGCGCAGGGGGTGCTCGTCGGGCACGTAGACCTCGTGGTCCGCGACGGACTCGTACACCGTCGCCGACTCGCCGTCGTCCAGCGGGAACAGCATCGCCTTCTCGACGCTGAAGACCAGCTCCCCGCGCTGGTTCCGCAGCTCGCACTCGAAGGTCGCCACCACGGTCTTCGGGTTCTTCTTCGGGATGCGCTTCGACCGCAGCACGAACCGCTTCTTGAACGTGTCGCCCGCGTAGCACCTGGGCCGCGAAAGGGTGCGCGACGTGCCCAACTTCGGAGGCTCCTCGCTCGGTCGTGTTCCACTCGTTTCGGCTCATTTTTGGACGAGCGATCATCTTTCGGAGCGCTCTCGAAGCGTGGATGTTTTTTTCCGGAACGCGCGCGTGCGGAACGCTCACGTTGAAGCGACGTTGCATCACTGTTTTCCCGCCCGGCGTAGCGCGGCGCGTAGTAGCGCGCGTTCTTGAACGCGACCTCCTCCACCGCGCGGTCCGCGTGGGCCATGGCGCCCGTCAGGAAGAGCATGAGGTCGAAGGGCAACAGGCGATCCGTGAAGCCCAGGCGCTGCGCGAAGGGCATCGACGTCACCAGCCGGTTCGTGGAATGGAACGCGCTGCACCAGAAGTCGCGCATGGACGCGTCGACCGTGAGCTCGTAGGGCGACTCGACGGCGTCGCCCGCGACCGTCGTCTTCAGGTCGATGGCCGGGTCCAGCGTCTCGCCGAAGACGAGATCCGTGCCCGCGACGGAGTGCTCCGCGCGCAGCTGCATGAAGCCGTCGTCCGTCTCCCAGGCCTGCGGCGCCGCGCCCCGCGACGGCTGCGGCAGCGCGCTCAGCGATCGCACGTGGCGCGGCGCGTGCCGCGCGACGCGTCTCGCGGCGCGCGCGACGAGCATGGCGGCGCTCTTCGGCCGCGGCTATGCGGCGGAGCTCGTGATTGCAAGAGCACGCCTGCGTTTCTGCGGCGGCGCCGGCGGTGTCGATCGACGCTGGTGGATCGAGGCCTGGATCGACGCGCTGCTAGCGCTGCCGCCGTAGGACCAGGTCCAGTGGGCCCATAACCCAGATCAGAGTGAGACTGCGTTACGGGTATCCTAGGCGTATCCTGGCTCCTCTGAGGTCGCGTGGCCCGGGCCGCCCAGGCCCGGCCGCGGCTGGCGACCGTGTACTTGAGCACCTGCGAGGGTCATCGTGTTGCCCGTGTAAAATCGAGGACACCGGCGCGCGCCAGGTGCGCGGCGGCAGATGTGACGTAGAACTTCATGGAAGTCCAGCCCAGCTGGCAGGCGAGCGCGGCCATGTGTGGCCGCGAGCCTGAGGGGTCGGTCATCAACCACTGAGGCCTCGTGGGACGTGACGCGAGAGGAACTTGGCGACGAGCTCCGCTCCGCACCTCTAGGGACCCGGATCGAGATCCAGGAGGAGAACAACAGCTGGGTGGGGGCGAGAGTGGAGACGAACATAGCCTGAGCGCGGTGAAGCGCAGCGTGAGGGACGCGGTGGTGCGCAGATCCCAGGACGGCGAACGCGGGAGCGGTGGCGAACGGCTCCCCAGGACGACGGGCGCGGGGAAGGGCACACGTCGGAACGCGCCGCCGCGCAAGCAGCCGTCGCAGCGTCCCGCGCGCCGCGCCGCGCGCGCGCCGCGCCATTCTTCGAGCTGTCTGACCCCCGGCCCGCCGGGGCGCGGATCAGGGCTCTCCGAGGGCGCCAAAGTCCGAGTCGAGCTCAAACGCCGAGCACCTCGTCGAAGCGCCGCTGTAGCACGCCATCAAAGGGCACCCGCGACCGCTCACAGCCGCCAAACGAAGCGCACACCACGCGCCGACAAGCATGGGCAAGACGAAGCTCGACTTCCGCAAGCTCGAGCTCGAGCCGACGTCGAGCACCAAGGAGCTCCTGAAAAACCTCGAGTCCGCGCAGACGCTCCTCGAGGCGACGGAGCAGGACGCCGCGCGGCCGAGCGGCCTCAAGGGCGTCGCGCGGCAGCTCGTGAGCCCGGGGCTCGTCGAGCACAAGTCCGGCGCGGTGCGGCTCTGGGCGGCGACGTGCCTCTGCGAGGTGCTCCGCGTCTACGCGCCGCGCGCGCCCTACGGCGACGACGAGCTGCTCGGCGTCTTCGGCCTCCTCGCGGCGTCGCTGCGGCGCCACGGCCAGGCGGGCGACGGCGGCCGCGACGCGGAGCTGACGCAGGACCGCGTCAAGCGCGGCCGCGGCGTCCCCCAGCGGAAGCGCGGGCTTTCCGCGCGCGCGCGATACTCTCGAGGAGACCCGTTCGCGCGCGCGCGACTTTCGAGGAGCGTGAAGAAAACTACAGCTCGCGCGCGACTTTCGAGGAGCGCGAAGAAACCTATAGGTGCGCGCTGGACTCGCTGCGCCACTTCCGGAGCGTCTGCGCGCTCACGGAGCTCTATCAGGGCGGCGCGCCGGGCGCCGAGGCGGGCCTCGTCGACTTCTGCGACGCCCTGCTCTCCTCCGCGCGCGACGGCGCGTCGGACGTGCGCGACGCGACGCTCGACGTCTTCACGACGGTCCTCGGCGAGGTCGAGCCCGTGCCCGACGCGCTCGTCGAGCTTCTGTTGGTGAGCCTGCTGCCCTCGAGCCGCAAGGGCACGCCCGCGACGCACGCGCTCGCGCAGCAGGTCGTCCGCCGGTCCTCGGACGCGCTCACGCGGCCCGTCGCCGCGTGGCTCAACGGCTGCCTCTCGCTCACGCCGACGGAGGGCGTCGTGTCGCCCGACGGCCCGGGCAAGCCGCGCCGCTCGGACACGTCCAACGAGGACGAGGACGAGGACGAGGACGCCATCGTGCCCGTCGACGCGTCCGTGCTCCAGCAGTCCGACGCGTCGTCGAACGCGTACGCGCTCGTCTACGAGCTCCACCTCGTCGAGCCGCGGCTCCTGCTCTACACGCTGCCCAAGGTCGCCGAGCGCCTGGTCTGCGACGACGCGAAGACGCGCGACGCGACGGTGACGCTCCTCGGCCGCTTGTTCGCCGAGGGCGACTACGCGGCGGCGTACCCCACGGTCTACGCGGAGTGGCTCCGCCGCTTCACGGACAAGGACGCGGAGCTGCGCGCGAAGATGGTGCGCGTCGCGCTGAAGGTCGCCGCGGCGAACGCGAAGGCGCGCGCGGACC